TATTTCCAATAAAATCAACAAGAACAACGCAAGACGTATCAACAGCGTAAATTATTCATAAAGCAAGGACGAGCTCATGGGCTTCAAGCGATAAAATAAGGAGGGTTATTATTCATGATTGAAAACACAGTTCTTCCAATTCTAAACTTTTAAAAGCTTCTATATCTAAAGCTTATATTTCCTCTAGTATTAGATTCACTGTCAAGCCGTATTTAAAAAAAAAAAAAAAAAAAAAGTTTTAGACTTTAACGGTTCGCGACAACGTAAAAGAGTTCACAGTCTACCAGTCTGTTGTTACACTTACTCCTGCTAACCAACCCCCTTATTTTGTCTTTTTAGCTTTATTATTAAATATAATTGTCTTCGCACTTGCGACTTATACAATTCAATAGAAAAATTACAAATATTTTAAAAGCAGCATAACAATATACATTTAGAATTCCTGATGCAGCTTTGAGTGTTAGCTTATATCTTCCCGTCTTGTTCAGTCTTTTCTCAGGTCATCATATCAATGTTCAGTTTTTTACTAAGATGGCTTTACAAAACAATTTTTTGTCTTATTATTATTAAAATTTTTGCGTTTATTTTATTTATTAAATGTCACGTTCTTGGCGCTCGCGCTACATAAAATTCGATTCAACAGTAAACCACAGAATATTTAAAAGCAGCATATCTTTAGAATCAAAATTCAAAATTCAAACTTTCAGGTGACCATGCTCGGGTGGAGGACTACGTTATTCAAAATCTGATGGCTCTAGATATCGTTGTCTTTCACATTGCGATAAATATACATACATTCCTGCAGACGTTTAATTATTTAATTTCTTTAAATATAATAGAGGGTGATAATATTTGTGCCACAGCAGTTTCAATAGTGATGTGCCGTTTATTGTGAGTCAAACAAAATGCCGTTTCGAGGACTAACATACCATTTAGGACTAACATCCCTTTTAGGGGTAAAAAAATGAGTTGCGGAATCAACAGAATTTTCCAAGAAATTGAACTTCATCACTTACGTACGAGTCTCGTACTTTAATAATTACCAATTTTGTTGTTTCGTAAAATTAAGACGATTAATTAAAAAGTTGTTATTTCTATGATATTATGCCACGTGCAAGTCAACTGTCATCTTCATACAATCTGAATGTTTATTACGGATCGCAATGTGGTGAACCTCAGACGAAGAACTGTATTTTTCTGTAAGATTTTCTGCATTCTTTTTTGAACAGTTTAATTATTTTCCTTTTAGCTGAAAAAAACAAAGGTGCTATTTAGTAAATTATGCAGTTTTTAAAAAATTTCTGCCTTTTTTACAGTGGTAAATGCAGTAAAACATTAAATATTGGAGGTAGCATCTTATTGATAATTATTAAGTACATAGAATTTATAGAGCGATACCAATGTTTATATTTTAGAACGCGAAAATTCAAAAATTGAATTTATAGCAGAGATTCGAAACTATGACAAATACAACATTTAGTTTTATAGCAGTTAAAAATAAATATTTACATACTTTTAACTATCAGTGCAGAAAACTCAATGCAATTCCCTTGTTTTTGAATGCAAATAAAGTCCTAGCAGGCTGAAAAATCTAGTGAAAATTCGAAATTCTTGACAGCTTATTTTGAAAACTGTTTGGCAACGTCAGACTTGTGGAATTTCTAATTTAATTTCTGCATTATATGCTTGGCAGCAGTAGGAATAAAGCTAATTTTCCATATTAAATAGGAACGACTTTCTTTCAGTACGATATTTTCGGTAACTGATGAAATATCGTACTGAAAGAAAACAAAATGTTTTAACTTTTCACATAATGCAGTTTCAGTTTTGGTGTTCAAAGTATTTATAGCAAACTCAGTTTTGGATGCCGATATGCTGTACTAGTAGGGCAACTTATAACATAACCTAGCAAGTGTTTCCAATGTAAAAGAAGCGAAATTCATCTTCCGTGCATCTAACATAGCTAACTCTTAGTAATGACTCCTCTTTGCAAATATGTGATTCTTAGAATGTTTTTACTTGACATAGCATAAGATTTATCTTTCAAGTTATGAATCAGTTATTTAACAAATTGAGCAATTTAAAAACAAGTAACCTTTTAAGAATTTGGAGGTTTTTTAATTTTCAACATCTCTGAGTGACGTAATTTAAAATATGTTAAATTCACGTGACTTGTAACATTTTTGTATTTATATAGTTTTTATTAAATCTATAAACTAATTTTGTAAGCTAAAAAAAGACGCTTCTAGAGCCGTTCATTAAATACCTCAGTAAAAAGTAATCCATTCTTTGTACTGTTTAGTAATGTCTCTAACTGATGCAATTTTATAACACATTTAATTTATGTGGTTTGTGGGATATCAAATTCACATTTTCATTTCCCAGCATTGATGCTCATGTTATGAAATAAAGCATTACAAGAAATCAGCAATGTATAACAGTAACTTTGCATACATATTTCTAATATTTCAACCTGATCAAACCAGTTTTATTCAGGGCTTTATTTGTGAATCTTACTCAACTGTTTTATGAAAATATTGTAATGTTTATTAAATCCAGGGAAATGTGTAAACGTTTAAACATTTACTAGCACATGAAACGATAAAACTAATAGCTGAAATAGTTCCTTTTCTTTGAATATTGTTGCGAAATGCCCAGTGGCTACTTGGTGAGATAGCTTTCCCGCAAAGCAAGCAATTTAGGGCTGCCACATTTGACACGAAATCGCCGCTTTGGCGACCAAATTGACGAAATGTCATAGCGAGAACATTCTAGAACACATTTTTAGCTGTTTCTTGAGAATATTCTCGAAGGTAGGTTAAAGCTATATATACCCTGACTATCCTGGGAGAGAGTAGCACCTTGAGTTCAGCGATCGATCCAGTGTGATCTGTACTGTAGTCCTTTGCCGTGAAGCTTTTTTCACCGTTATAGTCTGAAGACTGAGTTGCTGATTGTTTCAGAGTGTTTGTTGCAGTTTTTCGACGAGTGTAAACGTGTCTTTGGAACTGTCCTGTGCAATAGTGCTTTCTGGCGAATAGAGTTTTGATTCTTCATCAAGTGTTCTTATCAATTACTCGAAGTCCACGAGTCCGTAGAAGAAACAATATTTAACGAAATGATTCAAATAATTAATTAACTTGAGTACAGAATGTTTTTAAAATAATAAATATAATACAATAGCTCTCAAGCGGACAAATGGATAAGAATAATGAGCATTTTTAATTTGCCGCAACTTCCTTTATTTGTATTTTCTTTTGCTTCCTTCATTTTTAGTTTTCATATTTTTAGGTTTTTCCCCGTAATACAGGAAAACGAGTTGATGTGTCTTAAAATGTACTCTATAAGACATTTCTCTTAAAGCAGGTAAAGCTGAAGTACTTTAATGGATATATATTGTCTAACTCAAGGTAAAATATAAAAAACTTATATCCTTTCCATTGCTAAAATGTGTAAAATGCACAGCAAAACAATTGTGTTAAAATATCCTGATTCATACGTTGTTAAAACATGTATTAGATGATCTTCTGAAGAGCTAATAACAAATTATACAATGACATTTTTTATTCTTTATTAAGCATTGAAAATACATATTTAACAAACATTTTATTCTTTTCCTTACAGCTAAAAAATATTTTACTCAAAAATTGTAACATAGAAATAACAAAGAGTTGATAAAAAAATTATCGACATTTTCTCAGCTCTTAATGGCACAAAATAACTGCTTGGAAGTGTTTTTTATGAAAAGCTCTCTTTTCAATGATTCTTAAAAATGCAAATTAAGTTTCAAATCAGATTTGAAACTTACATTAAAAACTCCTTGTATAGCTTTTGCATATTATGAAAAGGATACAAAAAAGCAAAAGTAAAAGTATATAGTATGACATTTGTATGTAAAAGAAATATTGTAAAAATTATAATATGATATAATTTTGTGCGTTTCACAAAGAAAGCTCAAAACATAAAATTCTGTGATTCCCAAATAACACCACTTAGTGCCAAATATTACTCATTAGCATTTATACAAAAACGTCTTTTAATTTTTATTGTTTAAAATTGCATGCATATTTATAAAGTATGCATGTGCAGTTGATATCATATTTTCCCCCCACAAATCAAAATTTCAAACAATTTCTATACACTGCAGCTGATATGTTGTAGAACTTATGTATTCATGTAAAAAAATCTAGGCGCTTATTGACACCCAGTTGTCTATAAAATGTTTACATGCACAGTTTGAAATACGAATTCGTAATCCACAGCTAACAAACATACAGAGCTTTCGTTTTATGTCGCGTAAAATTAAAGCTTAAAATAAACAACGGGAATCATTCCAAAGGTGAGGAAAGTTAGACAGCTCTCTCAGGTAAGAAGTTATTTCATGCATATCTTTTAACTTTGTAAGAAATAATAAAATCTGTGAGCATAATTTTGTAGTTCCATATATCTTATAGGAAAAAAGTTGATTTTCTGAGGTCATAGGTTTCAGTTTTTAAATCCGGGTCTCATTAAAGCGAAATTAAATACAATAATTAGCCTTTATCTTGCACCAAGTCATATTTGATTACAGTGTTAAATAAACTAATGAGAAATAAATATTATGATGTTTAAAAATATTAATCATTTGAGAACAGATTTGTCTCAGCTATAAAAAGTTAACGGTTTAATTAAAAACAATTAAAAGTTTTTAAATCGAATTAATCACTTATCAAAATTATTTTTTATCTTCTTCAGATTAGTTTATCTTAGACCTTCAACAGCAGCTAACCCCCCCCCCAAAAAAAAATCGCAATTTTTTTTATCTTATTAGTAATGTTAAATATAGTTTATTATTTCTTTCTTTTTTTTTCGTTAAATCTGAGAAAATTGTAAATAGAGATATGTTATGATTGTTAGTAGAAACTCAATTCAATATTTAAAAGTCTTTCTTACTATTTGATTACAATATTTTTACTATTTAAGTAATATGTTAATTATAATATATAATATATAATTATTTATATATAAATATATATTATATTAAATTAATATAGTGATATTATATATAATATTACAATATTATATATAATATCACTTTTGAATTAGAAGTGTTCAACATATGAGTTCTTGCTCTTTAAAATATGATGCGAAATACTGAAATAATCGTTTCACAAATATAAGGTCACTGTCTGTTTGCTGGTGCAGAATTTCAGCTCGTTTACATTTGAATAAATTGCAAAAAATATCAGAAATTTCGATACATTTTTTACCATTGTTTATTTATACGGAATAAAAACGAGCATAATAACTATTAGATTACATTTATTTAATAAAATTAGTATATCTTTCCCCAACGCTTAAAAATGTGTAATAACAATTCATTATGAATTTGATTAAAATTTGTAAGTATTAATATTAAAAACTATTTTTATAAGTCTTTTTTAATATCTACATAAAACTATGAATTGTCGTTTAGTTAAGCAAGCGATACATAGACGTATATAGCCTGAGATTTTTTTTATAATTTTGAACTTTATATCCATTTAATAAATTTTTCAAAATCATGAAAACGATTCATAAAAATCTGCATATTTCAGATATCTGTAACATCTTCAAAAATACTGCAGTTTTCAAACTTGAGTAAAAATATATAAAACACACGCATATACTCATATCATAAGCATCTAATAATTATTTATCTCAAGTTTAATTTTCGTTCATATGATTATCAACGTTTATGTATATGCAGCAAGTTCGATTAATTTAGACAGAATGGAAGTCTTTCCGTCTTCAGTGGTAAAGCAAAGAGAACATAAACTCTGAAAGTGCTGTCTAAAGTAATTTGACAACTGTAAACCAGAAATACATGAGCAAGACATACATACGAAATAACATTCGCACGCAAGATACTTTTAAGTAGTGTACTTAGTGAATTTTTTATAGTTTTCACAAATGCTACTTTTAAAGTGTTAAGTCAATGTAATATGGCAAGTAATATTTTAGGTTTTTTTCCCTCATTCATATTCACATAATAACATTCACATGCTTGGAACCAAGGACTTCGATGAGCTGTCTAGAGCTGAAGTTCACGAGAATCACACGGTTACCTGGTCTTTGTGGAACAAGGCGCTCATAATGAACGATGGATTCCAAAGGGGAGATATCCCTGAAAATTTCAATGGAAAAAGTTAAAAAATTTAAATTAAAAGCAGACATTAAGCAATCAAAATAAAACATTTAGTCAGAGGTCAAGCTAAAAACTGCTTAAACACAGAAAACTGAAAACATAAAATACATTTTGAAACTTGAATACTTAGACTGGACAAAGGACCAAAAAATCATAACGAAGACATTGATTACAGAACTCAAAAATAAAAGGTTCAATTAAGGCTAATGAAATAAAAAATCTTCGCAAAGATAAGATTACAGAACTCAAGTATAAAAAGTTTAATTAAGGCAACGGATTAAAAAGTCATAGCAAGGATAGAGATACATATCTTAAGAATGAAATATTCAATTAAGGTAACTTATCAAAAAATTATAACGACAGATTACAGAGCTCAAGAATTAAAATCACAATTAAGGCAAAGGATAAAAAAACCATACCAAAGGCAGAGATTAGAGATCTCAAGAATAAAAGATTCAATTGAGGCAAGTTATAAAAAAAATCATATCAAAGACAGAGATAACAGAGGTCAAGAATAAAAGGCTCAGTTAAGGCAAATGATAAACCATTGCAGCAAAGATAGATGTTACAGGAATCAAGAATAAAATATTAAGTTAGGGTTAATTATTAAAAAATCACACGAAAAACAGAGATTGCAGGGCTTAAGAATTAAAGGCTCAGTTAGGACAAAGGATATAATGTCATAACAAAGACAGAGATTACAGAACTCAAGATTGAAAGATTCAGTTAAGAAGAAAATACGAAATATACATTAATCCTTAATTAGTGCAGCCTTGCAGCTCAAAAAAGAAGGTCCGTAGTAAAACCTACGGAACTACACCTAACCTAAACTAATCTTCTCAGTAAAACTCCTTCTAAACCTACGACTATCGTGATCTTAACTCGAGATTCATATTAGGTTGCCCATAAATTCTGACGCCTTTTTTTTTAAGTTTAGACTTGTAGGGGAATAAAGAAGAAATAAACAACAAATCAATCATTAATGTATTCTCCGTGGGTCTTTACAACTTCTTTCCAACGTTCAACAAACTTGTCAATGCCTAGATCAGTAGGGGTCAGTGTCTTTGAATAGCTTAAAATCGATTTTGAGCCTTCTTAAGAGACACCGCTTCTTCGCCATTTAGTACTTCACAAATCCCTTGAATAGCTTCTGTGGCTTTGGCACCTCGTTTAAACGCAAAAAGCGTTTATTTTTTGGTCGACTTGACACTTCATTTTAATGACATAAAAAGAACAAAACGTATATCAGCATAAAAAAGTCAAACACACTATTTTGTAGAACATGCAATGCTCCATGCTCCATCGCATAACATAAAATGCATTGACAAAATATTTTATTTTTTACTTTTCAAATTTTCACTTAAATAAAAATGCCAGGACTTATGGGCCAACCCAGTGTAATTAATCTAAGTTTCTTTGGCCAGGGCTAATTTACTTTTGACCATGCAGATATTTGTGACATTGCTTATAAATTTTAAATAAGGCAAATTTTGTCTCCAATAGTTATTTGTTCAAAACATTTGAAATTACTGTTCTGCTATTTCAATCAAATCTTTATCCCTTTTCGTTGACCAGTTTTAACATCCGTGGCAACAGATATCGGCTGTTTAAATTCAAATAAGAAATTCCATTTAAATTCCTTTCATTAAAATGACGGCATTTTACAGAAAAACACATGATGAGACATGATATAATTTCAGTAGTTAGTTAATGTTTGGCAAATTCCACTTGAACCGGAAATTCGATCTTGAACTTCTGTAAATGCGTTGTCCATATGCCTTTGCAAAGTTCAAAGTTATTACAGACATTTCACAGGAGTTTTATGTTTTAGTAGTTTTAATACGCTAATTTAGGATATTGGAAAAAGAATGTAACTTACCTAAATTTGGCTCTGTATGGTCCACTTAGTCCTGGACCTTCTAAAGTGAATAGGCAGTCTGTAAGATGGCGGTTCAGAGGATTCGTCAAACGAATTCCAAGTTGAAATTCCACGCCAACTCTCAACGTATCCGGACACTGAAAGAATTATATCTAGTATTATATGATGCGTTTTTTGTTAATCTCATTGCATTTATAATATGATAATTTAACAATTAAATTTCTAAATTTCTTTATCATGCGAACTTGCTAGCCAGGAAAGGGAAAATAGTAGTATAATTGTATTTTGCCTTGATTCATGATTAAACCATCTCACAAACAGAAAATTTGAATAAACGCTGACAATTTAAAGTCCAAAAGCAAGAAAGACTGAAACAATTACCATTATGTCCTTTGTTTTGTGCAGCAATGGGTTAGAATTCTGAAATTATACTTTTAAAATACATTTTTGAGGTTTTAGTGATATTATAGTTAAGAATATTTAATATTAGATATAAAATAGAGATGATTTAATTGATTTTTGAAAGCAGGAATTGGAATTTATGTTTGATACTTTTTTATATTGAATTTACTGGTGTGTATTATTGAGATTTTTGTAACAGCCATTCCGATGAAAAAGCATGTTAAGAAAAATCGCTGTGTAATATTGTAGTATTGTGATTAGCGGGGAAATTTCGAACAGCTTTTGATTGTTAAGTGGAGACTATCCGAATTGCTCTGAAAGATTTATTGTATTTTTAGGGTAGATTTGCCAGAGTAGTCATTTTTTTATTCCCTGACTGCAATACAGGTATTAATTTTTTAGCTTGCTTCCATCGGAGAAAATCTCCCAATGATTTACAATTATTTACAAGAGTTGGCTTCAAAAATGAAACATGTGGTCTTTCAGTGGATCCCTGGCCATTGTGGCATTCTTGGGAACGAGCAAGCCGACTGCATCGCAAAAGATTACTACAAACGAAATTTTCGGCACTATCTTTCCATTATATCAGGCTTTATATCAAGTAAGTAATGGAAAAAAGTTATAAATTGCAAATTCAAGGTAGGATAAAGTTAAAGCGTTGGAGAACTGAAGATCTCTTAGTAATTCCCAGCAATCCACCTCCTGAAGCTTTAAAAAGTTCCTGCTCTTGACTAGATAGACATAACTGTTTGACTGAGTACCTCTATCGCGTAGGAATCTTTTGAATCCTGGCTGCCCTCTCTGTAATCCGGCAATTCCAATGAATAGAGACCACCTCCGTTGATGTGCGTCACTTCGTGGCTACTCTGAAATGGCCCTTGACTGGTAAGATAGAGAATTTTTGAGGCAATGACTTCGGTCACTTTTATAAGCATTTTATTGTTCATATGTACTTTCTCACTTTTGTATTTGCCTTGTCATTGGGAATAAAAAAATATTGCAGTATTGTATTTAACATGTGTTTAATAACACGGCAGCGTTGTATCGTATCATATGTATGCAATACACCTGGCATTTTCGAGGACTATAAGGCTGCTTTGCTAGCTGAAAGCAAAAACAGTCAAGGTACATTTAGGGTTTAAAGGAAAACTTAAGGAAAGGGAAAAAATAATATTTCAAATGATTGAAGTCAAAGAAACGGGATCAGAATCCATAATAAAATTCTTATAGGCTGAAACTGAATGACATGTGAGAATTAACGAAAGACTAAAATGCTTACTGATGGCAATCAAAAGGAAGAGATCACAGTTGGATAATAATAGGACATGCCAGCTGTATTACAATGCTATTCGCTATGTTTAAGTGATAAATAATCTTCTGAGTTAGTTTTCTAAGAACCATTGTGACATTCTCCTTTGTCAACGAGATTCCCCCCCGGGGGTCGACGTAGAGAACTCTGTGAAGCTATTGGCTAGGATCTGTACCTAGGCAGTCTCGGCCACGGGGTCATAAAATTTATGAACTTGGTGGTTCTGAAAGCCCTGGGAAAGGTCACTTATTGGGCCGGCCCCGGGGTCTGGCATGCCTTGAGCGGCACGGCGACTGGCAGGTAGCAAATCAAGCAACCAGTGCCGCCTGGCGAGGCCCAGGTGGTGCGCCCTCTCCTGGAGGGGTAATAGCGGAGGTTGAACCTTCGCGACGTGCTCCAAAGGGAGAGGTGGACCGGTAATGCTGTTTAGTTTAGCGAAGATCGGGAATGCCCATATCTGCTTTGCCAACGAGAGTTAAGAAGTATGAAATCTTAAAATGATGTTTCCAAAAGTTTTTAAATGCACAGGCTTGCATGTTTATTACTCGAGATACCCTTTCGTTATCCGAGATAATTTTTGTTCGGAAAATTGCTCGTGAAGAGAAATGTGACACGAGGGTTCACGGTGCAGTGCTAGTTAAGGTAGGTTAGAAAACAAGTTACATACCTCCAAACGCAGTTTGGGTTTCTGAACGGTGAAATCATCTTCCTCTGCCCACGTTTGTTGTGTTTCCTGAACGGTGGCAATGGCATAGATTTTCATCATCGAATAATCGACCAGTTTGTCTAAGTATTCGTCGGGAGAAACAGTAATTGAAAGTACTTCAGCTGAAAGTAATGCAAATTTCATTAATTCAGTTACAAATTTCTATTAAGCTGTACGTTACACATTTAAACTACATAACGTATGAAAATTACAGACAAAACTCCGTAAACGTCTTCTCATTTAAATAAATAGAAAATAGTGTCAAAACCTAGTAATTATACCAATTAGTTAGGAAATCAAAGTACATATATTATTATGTCTAAAACCAATTTCAGTGTGTAAATGCAAGGAAATATTCATTATACATTTGAAATTATCTTTTAATGCAGGAACATAGCATCCATCTTATTAATTACTAAACTTAAATCCATCTTATTAATTACTAAACAATTACCTAAACTAAATTATTTTATTGAAATAATTGATATTAATAAATTATGATGTGTTTTGCTGCCCAAACGAGATAGTGGTTAGTGATTCTGGCTACCGTACCGAAGGACTCGGGTCAAATCTCTAAAAACGCTCGGATGTTTTTAAATGTATAGTGACTTGGCGACACTCTAAATATATGGCGGGCCAAAAATCCTCTCGTGTGTTTTGAGGGTAGAGGAAGAAGGGACCTTTGCACCCATCAAGTATGGTAAATCAAAATTTTATTTTTAGCTATATATATCAATTTTACTTTAAGAATCTTTAGAATTTATCCTAAGACTTTGTGAATGAATTTAATTTGACCAAATTTAATTGCAAGTATTGCTGTAATTATGTTTGAGTGTGAAGTCTGATGCATAATAATGCTTAATATGTATAAGAACAAAACCCATCAAGTTCTTCAAAAATGGCAGATTATAAATGTTAAAAACATCGTGCATAATTTAATAGTTCTTTTAACATTATGTTAAAGTTCCTTCTTTAAGCAACTTTATAACATTAATTTAGTCTTACAAATGACGTGTGAGTCAGTTATCTTACCTTGGTTGGGCTTAAGAGTAAAGTTCCCTCTTTGTCGAGTCACCTTCCTTGCCAGAACTCCAGTGTAGTAGACAGTACTGGCTGACAAGACTGCTCCAACTGTTCTCATTTCGGATGTATTCTTATTTCGTACTTTTACTGTCACGGAAAATGGTTGACCGATCATAATCTGATCTATTTCCAGCAAGTCAAATGATACATCTTCTTTCTCGGGTGGTGGCATGTCGTATACAGCATAGCGGACACTAGGAGCAACGCCGTATCTAGCAGCATTTAGAACAGCCATTCTCTCCTCCACTGTGCCTGTGGATTAAAAAACATAAATTTATGTTCGAAAGGTAAACTTCAACTCAGTGCCTATCAACATCATTGGTCTCTTAGACCACTGGTCTTGTTGACTTCTTAAACAAGACTCATGATGGATCAGTGATGACCAATGATTAATGACGACTAATGATCAGTGAGGATCAATCAAGACTATTGATGAACGAGATCATTGATTTCTTAGTAACTTTGTTCTTGGTTTATACAACCAACCACCAAGATTATTGGTTTCTTGATAACAAATGAGGACCAAGATCACTGGTGTGAGAGAGATCAATGATCAGTCTCTAATCGATGGCGTTAAATGCCATTTTCGCAATTTTGTGATATTCGAAACATTGCATTATAAAGAAGATCGCTGTTGATTAAAAATGTGTTTTTTCCCAAAACAAATTTAATATTTAATATGTAGTCATAATGGTGCATCATCATTAATATAAAATATACTTCGACAATGATGTGCCTAGATATTTACTCTTTCTCAAAGAAATCGTATATTTCCTGTATTTATAGAACTGGAATCTGATTACGTTTAATGAATCTGTTGAAACTACAAGATTTGGATAAAAATGTGGGACAATAGCGATAATTTTGAAAAGACCTTTTTACCAAAAACATAAATATTTACAATCTCTCAATATAGCTGCCTGCCATGTGTGCATCGTGTGTCATATCTGGAAGGCGACGTATACTATCAGTACATCCATTTCTCTACAATGACTGTCCTAAAGCACGAATAACCCCTATTAAACTTTTGCAATCTAAGTGCCTCTTTCATTTTGATGAAAAGATCATTGTCACATGGACTCATATCCGACGAGGTTGGTGGGTGTTTTAAGAACTCCCGTTGACATTGTTACAAGTGATCCGTCACAGTGTTGGTGCTAGGAAACCTCGCATTGTCACTGAGGAAAATGCGAGTCATCACCAACAAATGTCGTTGCTTCCTTCCGAGTCGTGGATGCAGACGATATCCCAAGCTCTTTTTTAACTCATAAAATTCTGCATAGTAGTTGCATAGCTTTTGTAAGGCATTTTTGAAGGGCCATTAAGCTGCATCAGCTATTGTGTTTCACAATTTCAATAATCTTAGCTTAGAAAAGTAAATTCGGTTTTTTTTCTTCCGTAAGAAATATTTGATTATATAATGCTAACTCTAGAGCAGCGGTTCTCAACCTATTAACTAAAGCGTACCATCTAAACAAAAACTGAAAAACATTAGTACCAGCATTACATTTTACAATGATTATTTTTCAAATTCTCAATGGAAATATTAAAAAAAATAAATATATTTTGCCATTTGCACAACTTATTAAATTTAACATTTGCCATTTGCACAACTTATTAAGAACATTTATTTGGTTAAATATGCACACATAAAAATGTTAGATTAAAAACTGGTTACCATTTTTAATATCCAAATTTAACTTCTAATACTTAAATTCTAAAATTTTGTGTGAAATTTGGGTCAAGAGAGATCAATTTCTTTATGTCTGGATTTATTTCACATAGCTTTAACCGTAAATTAGGATTCCCTTTTAATTTTGTTCCATATTTATTTTTCAAATATAACCTGGAAGAAAATCCTTCTTCACACAAATAGGTAGTGCAAAAAGGCAATAAAAATTTAATAGCTTTATTTGAGATGCCTGTAAATTCTTTTTTCCGTTCAGTCAAAAGTTAATCAGTGTGTTATTTTTGAAATCTTCAGTTCGAGTTCAATCACAGGAAATTTCTATCAACTGTTTTTTCTTCTTCACAAGATTTTTGAACTTAATAGTTAAAATTACTTTGTTTCTTTGAGCACCACCTATTTTTCTCTTCCGTGCCACCAGTGATACGCGTACCACCGATTGAGAACCGCTGTTCTTGAGTACTCTTCCCTAAGAATTGGTTATTTTCAAAAGTTATCTTAATGGTTTACATGAAAACAAATATAAGTCATTAAACCGTATATTGAGGAATAATTTAATAGCTTTTTTGGAGATGCCTGTAAATTCTTTAAATTCTTTAAATTTTAATAAATTAAAAATGGATGGTGGTGCTCTTCAGATTTTGCTGAGTGATGTACTGGATAGTTCTGGAAATAGTTACTGCTTGTTCCCGGAACAGGGTACTTAGTCGCTGATTCCGTAGAGTAAGGTTTCCCTCCGTGCAGTGCGCTCCCAATTTTGTCTGCCATACGCAAGGCATCCGTGTATATAATTATTGGTATATATAGTTATAGAGTGTTGTTGTTGGGGGGTGTTATATTGAGGAATTGGAATTAAGTATAGTTAATTTACTTTTATCTACCAGAAGGTTAACACAAAGCTAGCGCACAAAGCTAGTACTGGTTGTGGATAATGAATACTTCCTGATGTTGCCTTTGGCGAATCAGGAATCTTTTCCTGATGTTTCCTGATGTTGGCGAATCTATCAGCAGTTCATTTTCCCTCGCCTTAGCATGCACTTTCACTCAGGACAGCGTGATGTTATGATGTTGATGCCTCTAAGTCTCTCTGGATTATAGGGGATGTTTGGTAATAGTTAAGTAACTTATTAAGAACATTTATTTGGTTAAATATGCACACATAAAAATGTTAGATTAAAAACTGGTTACCATTTTTAATATCCAAATTTAACTTCTAATACTTAAATTCTAAATTTTGTGTGAAATTGGGTCAAGAGAGATCAATTTCTTTTATGTCTGGATTTATTTCACATAGCTTACCGAAATTAGGATTTCCCTTTTAATTTGTTCCATATTTATTTTTCAAATATAACCTGGAGAAAATCCTTCTTCACACAAATAGTAGTGCAAAAGGCAATAAAAATTTAATAGCTTTATTTGAGATGCCTGTAAATTCTTTAAATTCTTTAAATTTTAATAAATTAAAAATGGATGGTGGTGCTCTTCAGATTTTGCTGAGTGATGTACTGGATAGTTCTGGAAATAGTTACTGCTTGTTCCCGGAACAGGGTACTTAGTCGCTGATTCCGTAGGAGTAAGGTTTCTCCTCCGTGCAGTGCGCTCCCAATTTTGTCTGCCATACGCAAGGCATCCGTGTATATAATTAATGGTATATATAGTTATAGAGTGTTGTTGTTGGGGGGTGTTATATTGCTGCAAATGTATGTTTACGCCTTGCCTTTTAAGCGCTGGTTGTAGCGTCGTCGGGGGCATTTCTAAATTGTTTGGATAATGCCAGTCATCGAAAAAGCTTGTGGGAAAACGATGATGAAATACTGATTGGATTTCTGCTTCTTTCTCAACAGGAATAAGCAATGATCTTAAACCTGTCAGGACATTCACGAATTATTAAGTCGCTGTTATGCGAAATGCCTTTGTGATGTTTAACGCGAATGAACGCTGGATACTGAGAAAATGTTTTACTTTCCTCCCTTGCATCGGTTGGACTCAGACTGGAGCAGCATAAGCATATGTAACCATCCTTTCTGTGAAAGTTGAGTAAAGAATCTTTTAAATGTGCGAATCTAATTCTCAAATATTTCCTTGGAACTCTCAGACGTTTTGTGGTTAGTACGTTGCTTTTCTTACTATGAGAAGTCAAGTCAATCTTCGATCCCACATAAAGACCAGGTATTTTAATTGGCCACGTAAGGTCCAGGTATATCCTTTGAGTACATCAAACTTTTATATAAAAGTGTGATACCACATATAAGAGGAAATGTCAAAGATAAATGAAACAATCTCTTTAATTATAAAGAATCTCGTTCATAAAATCCTTTCATTGAAATACTCTGTCTAAGATTATATTGATCAAAATTCTTGCGTAATATTGCGCAAAGTATTAAACATTCTACTGCCCCAAATGTAAAATAGTCTTCTATAAAGCATGGTTGTAATTCTGAAGTTTTTCCAAGAAAATAAAGCAACTTGTAAATAAAATGATCTTAGTTATAATTTGTCATGAAAATTTTCTGTGACTCTAATTAAATGATCATAAAATAAGTTTAAAAGAAAATAAATAATCTGAAACCTGTAATTAGAGGCAAAACTTAGAAAATCTGCTTTTGTTTAATGTAATAGTCAAAGAATAAACGTTAAAGTAACATAAACAGTTTAAATATTAAGCTGTGCGATTACACCTAGTGAGATTTCTAGAAGAGCGCTTTTGCAAAAGAAAATATATTTTTATTTAGGACAACATGTTTTTGTTTCCTTCTGGACAAAGAAAGATGAAATTAGTTGGTGATGGTATTGAAATGTTTTACCTTCTTGGTCTTTGTACTCGCTTACAATATTTTCAGCATCTGTATCTCCCACATCATCATCTACTCCGATTTTCTTAGTCAACATAAATTGACCGATCCTGTAAGAAATATTATTTGGATTGTTTATGTATTACATAATATTCGAGGATTGCGTTTGAGATTTCATATATATATATATAAATATTTCTATGCATTTTTAATATCACCTTTAAGCAATTAAACAGATGAGCACACATTTATTGTTTAATTTATTAATTACTGTTAAATTATTTAATTAACTTTTGTATCTATTGAAAAGCGTGACTAATCTTTTTTTAAAAAAATTAAAAAGCACATGAAAAGTTATAATCTCAAAAATGGTCAGAAGACATAAATAGTAACTAAAATAAAACCACCACTCTACATACATCACTGAAATGCTGAATACTAGTTGCCGAATGGCTTTCAGCTCTATTATTATCATTGCCATAGGAATGGGCCGTAAGTATGGATTATTCGTACGGTAAGTCATGATCATGCAGTCTTCCCAGGCCTTTTATTCCAGGATTTTATTATGAATACTGAATTCATCGAATTTCCTTACAGTTAAATTACCAAATGAGCTGACTATACGCAAAAATACGCAGTTTCCATCGTTGTCACAAGCCTTAATGACCAACAGATGAATTACATTGTTGAAATGAGCCGGTGTCCAGAGGTCCGTGGTTTTTTCCCGGCTGACGGCGACTACTCATTTTTCATCTTGCCTGCTTCAAAAAAAAAAAAAAAAAAAAAAAAAACCTAATGCCTCTACAGTAGAACTGTACGGCTTCTCCTGTCCTTTGTGAGATTCAGAAACTGAAATCTTTTTATGTAGTATAGCATAAATGTCATCACGAAGTTAACCCATCCATTGCAAAAAGACCTAAAACAACTGGAGTGAACGGTAGAGCAAATGGAAGCTCGGAACATATTACCATGAATCAAAATTCTGCGTATTTAACTAAACCAGGGAATTTGAAATAGATCTCAAAGGACTATGAACTTTTACCGGCTATAAGACACTCTTCTGGATAAAGATAGTTCCATAGTTGTAATATTTATTCATGTGTGGGGTTATACAATATGCCCTTTCATCCAATAGAAACAATTGTTGACACGGAGTCACCAAAACGTTAGAGACAACAATTTTTTTCTAACATCGACCAGTCTACCAGTGATCTACGGTTATATAGCTCTCTTCTATAATGCACGCTTATCTTGAAACTAAATAGTCATCATTACGATTATTCTGAGATAGGCATAGTCCTGGATACAAGAAAACTCGGTTCCAACATGTAAACTGTTAATATTCAATGCAGCCGGTGCCTTGATGTATTCGAAAACAGCTCTGCTAATGGTGCACAGTTGATTTAAAAATGGTATGATTCCGAGTTCCACTTGCTTCTCTAGCTAGTTAAATCTCTTGACGTTAGCCATACAGAGTATTTCCGGGATAAAATGAAAAGAAAATTTTTTCAACACCTGGGTATGCTGCTATCCAATCTGAACGTACTTAGAGTTGATGTAATGTCTGCATAGCCTAATATTCCATAAGAATGATATCAGTAACTTTTTGAGATCCTATTCAGAATATCGTCCTGTGCTCAAGGATAAACTGACGATATATTAGGGACATCTCTATTTACTTTTCCTCATATTTTGGCCCTTCAGTCTGTGTGTGGATCGTTCTCGTAGATACGATATATTTCTTTATAATCTTGAAATAACCAGATGGTGTGCTAATATCCCCAAAATAATTACAGAATATCAAATAGCGATTTTACTCGTGAAAGTATAAAAAATTAATTTGCCGTTTTTTTTTTTTTTTGTTGTTTGAGTACGCTAAAGGCCAGTAAGAATTATGGTTCTGCTTTACGGGAAATTTACAACTGCGAATGCCTGTGCGTATCCAATATGACCAATGAATAGTTCAGAAATAACTGTTTACGTTGAAAGTACGAGCAAAGAATATCAGAAACAGAATACTTATTTTAAAAAATAGTACTGTGTCGTTATGAATTTAAAAATAACGTAGTAGTATATATTCTATTATGAGATTTTTTCCTCCCTTCTAAACACTTCTGTTTTAAATGTCTTAGTTTAAGTTTAGCACATTACAAATAAAATTATTTGTTAACTTTTGAGCCCATGTAATTAAAAATTTGGTTTTATTATTTTGCGTTTATTAACAGAAATAGTTAATTAAAACAATTTCATATTTATTTTTCAAAAAAAAAAATACAGTGAATTTTTCTCACAACTTTGTTTCCAGTGAAAATTAGTCAACGTTTAGCAGTATGATCTCTGTTGAAATAATGTACTATAGGGATTATTTTTAATTTCCTAACTGTTATTTTTAATTTTGAAGCCTTTCCTTCAAATTCTTGTTTTCCACCTACAATTCCCTGCCAGAAGGACATATCAGCATCGCTCTTTGTGTAAATGAAGTAGAGTCAGTATTTAATGGGAAGTTCAATCACTTCCGTAGAAGAGCTCAGAAGATCTCAGTAGAGCGTGTTCTGCCTTTGGGCCACGTCGTTGCTTTAAGCCTATCTTACGACGTTCGGCCGTAGTCTTATGTGCCCGTTATCATTCGCCGGTGAGGTTTAATTACGGGCGAACTCGGTTAGTTCTTTTTGTACAGCTTCGGCTAAAATTTAGCCACTTACAATTAGTTTAGTTCCTTATTTAAGTTAAAATCCAAGCGAAGGCTTTCTTGTAAGCTCGAGAAGGGCTATCTGTAATATTTCTTTGAGTGAATAAAAGGGTGTTTTAACTTTTCTTTCGATTTATATTTTATTGTTGTAAGAAGACCAGCGAATAGTCGCTAGACACCTCACTAAAGTTCCAGTAGTAAAGGACACGTAAATTAACTAAAACTTTATAGTACAATAAACCGAAACGTATAGTTACCTCTCTTGGTTTTAGTAAACGAATGCATTTGGCCTAAAGAAAATGTAAATCAATTATCTGAACTTCTCGAATATCAGGATTAACTATATTCGAGTTGGTTCGGTTTTATAAATATTACTATATTCGAGGTTTTAATCATATATATATAAATTTTAGAAAGGGCGGATTTAGACTATTGAAATTAGAACAGCCCTAAGCTATTTGAAATAGCGGCCCTTGATGATATTTAATATTTTTTTGATGAGTTATGGTACAATTTTTAGGGGACACTAAGCTATAGCTTGTATAGCTCATATGTTAATCCGGCACTAACTGCAGCGAAGTTAATGAAAGTATTCATTAAATGTAATCGAAAGTAGCGTCTTTGAAGAAGCTTAGATGTGGAATAAAATATCCGCAAGATCTTTGTTTGAATTGAGTTTTACTTCCCACAGGTTTAAACATGCTTCGTAAACAACTTTAACTATTTAATGAAAATTAAATTAGCCTACTTGCTGCTAATGTGCAACTAAGAATGTATTTTTCTTCGAGGAGGGCTCTTCGTTATAATCTAGCAGTGAAATCCACTCTCAATTTTACTTTGGCGTCTTGCATACTACCTAACAATCTGATTCCTCTTTCTTTACTCATTGTCTTGATTCCTATTAAATAATAAAAAATATTGCCTCTGGAAAGCAAGAAAAATTCTTATTCTTTCTTGTTTTACAGCGGCAAAAATTATCTTACTTATATTTATCACTAGCAGCTTTTCTCCACCCGCCTTCTATGGATTCGTCTCTGGTCCACTTGATGATATCCGCATTAACTTCAGCGAAAACAAAAGGGGAATCGAAGTCGAATCCAACTTGTCCACGTCGAACTGCCTCTACAGATGATGGACCCATTTGGAAGACATCTGAAAATGTACGAAACGGAATGCTTAGATCTAGCAAAAGAGCTACCCAAGATTTTAAGCAATTTATGCTTAAAAATATAATAATGAAATATAATCAAATCCTATATGGTTAATATATGAGTTGCTGTTAGTAACAGCCAGTGTAGGCAAAAATTAAAAAAAAAGTTCTTTTCTATAAATAGACTATTTTCCGGTTAGCGTATTGTAATAGATACTCTCATTTAATAAAATTAAAGGAATTTATTTCTATCCTTAATTATTGAAAATAGTTACCATGATTTTTCCGAAAATAGCTGTCAGAAACGATTCCAATCCGATTAGTTCGAATAAACCGGAGTTTTTCGCATACCAATTCATAACAGAATCATGCGTAAATCAAACTAATTTTAATAAGCTTAATTTTTAACTCTTTTATAGAATTCATCATTTAGACTTAAATGAAAAAATCAGTTGTGTTTGATAAATTAAAAATTCAGCAATCCTTGAATAGACAAAGCGTTTATTTAATATTAATCGGAATGCATTTTACAAAAGAAATAAAAATTAAAATACAGTTAAGTTGGTTTATAAATAAATAAGAAGTAAAATTAAAAGGAAATAGAGAAATATATAATAAAGTGAATGCTTATTAAAATTAAATGCTGAAATTGAACATTAAATGTAAAATTATCAATCAAAATCGAAAATGAAGTAATAATTGATGAGCATTTGTCATGCAACATTTTCTCGTTTTTCAATCACCCTAATTTAACGAGTACCTGCATTTACTAGGCGTGAGAACAGTAAGAATTAATTTTATTTATTCTTTTAACCAGCCGAAAAGGAAAAAATTAGCACTAAAATAAAAAAAAAATTCTAAACAATACAATAGAAACGTTTTATTGAACATGAATGTCATTTATTAGCAAGAAATATACTGTTGGTTTTAAGTAAAATGTAAAATTGAAATAAGTATTTATTGTAAAGTAAATTTAAAGTAATGTAACAAAAATAATATTTAAAAAACTACTGTTAGTATTGTTGCGTGCGTACGGGTTCGTTATGAAATGAATGCACAAGTCCGATGAAAAATGAACAAAAATTTATTATTATCACAACAAAAATGCTTAAATTTTCTCAAATTATCATGCAGTATTACAATATCTCACAGTAGTTATCTTTTAACTACTCAAATGTCCAATAGAACGTAATTCAAAACAGCTAAAGAACGCTAATCCGCGAATTCGCTACAATCAACAAGAGCAGTTTTCTAAACAACAACAAACTAAGCAACTACTACAAACTGAGATGTTTTCCTCCTTTTATAAGATTTTAAAATCACGCGCTAGAATTTTCCAGTACTTTCTCGAAATCAAAAAGAGATATTTATTTATTTAATGCACGCGCTCTTGCATCTTCAATTTTCCGGCTTAGCTTTCTTTTAATATTCGTCACGCGCTGCACTGCGCGAGAAATAAAACCATTTAATTTATAATTGAACTAACATTAACTTTTTAAATACCAAATTCGTAACACTGCCCCCTTCCCAAGGACTGCACGTCCCGGGCAGTACAATCCCTGGACAGGAAGCTAAACTTACAACTGTGGCATAAATGCAACTGAAGCATAAACATTACATTACAATATCAAACAACATGAACAATAAATGCAATAACTAACTTAAACAAATCAAATACTAAATACAAAATAAATCAAATACACATTTAAAAACAAAAAGGACCATGGTGTGATACTATTTACAATTATTTACATTATGTACTATGGCCATAGTAATAAGCTAACCTGTCGTAAGAGTTCGAAGACTCACGGATCCGAACCACGACGTCATTCGTGTTCAGCACTGTATATGGACCATCCGAAGGTGACTGTAATTTAGGACTCAGTCCTTTTCGTTGAATTGGGTTCCACAACCCACACCTTTGTCTCCTCTTTGTTGGATCTCTGTCTAGTAGCTCTTGTGTCGCATCTGGTCTTCATTTTCTCCGTCGCCAAGTTGACTCGCTTTCGTGCAGAACGGTGCATCCCCTCAAACCGGGCCTGGGCATCTTGGATGTGTTCCTCAGGCGATGAAGGCGCATCCGTAGGGCGACTAAACAGGCGGTCACAAGGCAGACGAAGGTCTCGACCGAAGAGCTTCTGGGATGGAGAATAGCTGGTAGTCTTGAGTTTCTTTTCGACCCTGGTATGATTTCGGCAGCTTCCCGAGCTCGATCTTTCGGACAAGGCGTCGACATTTCCAGGCGAGGATCCCTTTTGAGGATGGATAGTCATGCCATCAGATGCTGAAAGCAGCTTATTGTTTTTGAAATCTAAGGAAAAATTGTATTTCCTTAAAAAGACCAATCCGAGTATGCATGGATCTGTAATAGCCACATATGCCGTGTGATGGTAGGCGGCACTTCCAAACGTGATGTTTACGTTTAACTTCCCAGTTATGTCGATCTTGTCACCAGACGCAGTCTGAAGGGTAACACAGGATGGCGTCCAAATAAGTTTATCTTTAAACTGTTCAGCTAAATCTTTCCTAATGATGGTAACATTAGCTCCTGTGTCAATGATCATATTGCAAGGAACTCCATCGATATTCCCATTGATGGACAGTCCGTTATTGTTGCCACTCACTATAGAGATCTTAAGCGCTTTAAAACAGGGTTTTTCATTATCTGGCAACCTCCGTTCCTTGATATGGTCATTAATTTGTTTCCTGCGTCGTTGCTCAGAAATTGTCTCAATTTTCGTACCCTGGGGTGTTTCTGCAATTCTTTCGTACGTGGCCTTTCAGCTCCACAGTTCCAGCACTTTGGTTTCTTGTCAGTCCTTTTCCTTCCCGTGGCATTTAATTGTCTGTTTAAATCGTATGCCTTATTTTCCGTGCTCTGGGGATTTCTGCAGTTCCTTCGTAGGTGGCCTTCAACACCGCAATTCCAGCACTTTAGGGTCGGTTTTTTTTTTTCACCACTATTCCGTCTTAAAGCATTCACTGGTCTTGTCAATTCATTCCGTTTTCATTATCCGTGCCCTGGGGTGTTCTGCAATGCCGTCGTAGGTGACCTTCAGAACCACATCTCCAACATCTTACAGCCACTTTGTTCTCACTGCTACTCCGTATCAAAGCATCGACTTGTCTGGATAAATCATCTAAACGAGCCATCAATTGGTCCCCTGGCTCGTGGACTCGCACAGCTCTGACTGGGTTCTCCGAGTCTGCGAGTCCTGCTATCTCTCCGAGTTGCTTGCTGGGCTGCCTCCAATTTCATGGCGTACAACAGAGCGCTTTTTACATCCTTTACATCTGCCATTCGCAGTGCTTTCTGTATTTCAGGGTCCCGGATGCCATCGATGAAATATTGCAGCGACAGAATTTCCCTCGTTTCTCTCGGGCACTCCGTAAATGCGAGGTGAGACAGCCTTTCAACATCCGTGGCGAGTTCCTGGAGTGATTCGGTGGGCTTCTGTTGACGGGATTTTAATTGAAGCCTGCTGTAGTCTTTTAAACATTTCTCGCCAAAGCGCAGCTCCAATGCGCCGGATAAAGCTTCGAAGTCAAGTCTTTGGTTTTCTGGAAGCGTCTGCTCTCAGAGAAGCGGCGAGATGGCAGGCCTTAGTTTGGGAATCCCATCCATTCGCATCCGAAACGATAGAAAATTGTGTTTTATACACTTGCCAGGATGTCTTCCCATCATATGGGGATAGCTTCAGAGATGGACGAGCAGGCATCGGTAAGAATTTAAAACCCTCAGAATTGCTTCTTTCGTTCGCTATGCTCTTCTTTAAAGTGTCAACTTCCTTCGCAACGGCTGAAACCCTATCATCAACTTCTGTTGGCTCGACCGGCAGAAACTCGCTAACATTCTATTATGTCTGTTCCACGGCAAGAAATCTCTTTCTTCTATTTCTTCTTTTCACCGAAGAAACTCTTTCTTCAATTTGACCTTTTACGGAGAAACGTTTCTTCAATTTTGCCCAACTTTATTTTCAACCACATCTATTCTGCCTTCCATAGCATCGAATTTGGTTTCTATTATGCAGGCAGGCAATTTCTCTTTTCATTTCGTATTGACTTTCTTCAATCTTTACTTGTACGGCTTTTACTTTTCTTTAACAGATTCCCTTAACAACTTTTATTTCGTCTTTAAAAGTTAATTGACCAGCTTGAATGGCCTTCATCTCTTCCTTAACGGATTCTTGTCCCGCTTTCATTTCTTCCTGTCCCGCTTCAATCTTTTCCTGATTAGATTTCATATCTTCTTTCAACGAGGCAAAGGCTGAGATCAACTGCCTTAATTGCTCTTCCATCGCGCTTGTTAAAATTGTTGCGTGCGTACGGGTTCGTTACGAAATGAATGCACAAGTCCGATGAAAAATGAACAAAAATTTATTATTATTATCACAAAACAAAAATGCTTAAATTTTCTCAAATTATCATGCAGTATTACAATATCTCACAGTAGTTATCTTTTAACTACTCAAATGTCCAATAGAACGTAATTCAAAACAGCTAAAGAACGCTAATCCGCGAATTTCGCTACAATCACAAGAGCAGTTTTCTAAACAACAACAAACTAAGCAACTACTACAAACTGAGATGTTTTCCTCCTTTATAAGATTTTAAAATCACGCGCTAGAATTTTCCAGTACTTTCTCGAAATCAAAAAGAGATATTTATTTATTTTAATGCACGCGCTCTTGCATCTTCAATTTTCCGGCTTAGCTTTCTTTTAATATTCGTCACGCGCTGCACTGCGCGAGAAATAAAACCATTTAATTTATAATTGAACTAACATTAACTTTTTAAATACCAAATTCGTAACAGTATATTTCTTGCACAAAATTGATTCTCATGAATTACAATACATACGATTAACGATTGTTATACATTGAATGATACGATTGTTATACGATAAAAATTGGAATTTTTTGACAGCAACGAGAATTAAAACCTTTTAATTGATGCAAAGTTTTATCAATGAGTTTAAGAATTAAATTGCACGGTAAGAGCTATAAAAGTTAAAATTCTAAATGTTTTTACTATTATTAGTCTCTAAACTTGAACATCAATATTTTTTCTTCCATTTCATCTTGAATTTGTTCAATGTAACGCTCCTGCACTCTTTTTTTTTTCATATCTCGATGCTTTTTAGGCTAGTACTGCTCTAATGTTTTTTTTTACACGTTTAGTACTCAGTATATATATATATATATATATATATAAACGCAAGAAAACAGTTTTAGTTCTTACATTATTAGTATAATTGACCCTCGTTATAAGGACTCCTTGCGTCTTAAAGGAAAGAGAGCTATAACGAGAAGTGCCTCTATTGCAGATAGAGTTAATATATTCTCACCAGTTGGAAACGTTTTTGGTCATCGTAATGATGGTTGTTATAAAAATCATGGACTGCATCTTAAGTTCATAACGGAACCCGATCTGCGACTGTGACATGAGCCGATTACAGGCTGAAATATCGCAAAGAAAACAACGCAAGGGGAAAACATCGACGTACAAAACATCGTGGGAGAAGAGAAAGAAAGGAAAAATAAAACATCGTCGCAGAAAATAAAGCAGTTAAAAATTTCGCAGTTTTTTTAAAAAAAAATGTCATGGCAAAAAATAAAGGACACGGAAATCATCGCATGATGATAAAATCGCAAACATGCATTTTGAGACTTTAAAAGTTTTAAATGCAGGATTTCTCATAAGGATCTGTGAAAGCAAGAAGAAGTATGGAATAATTTTACCTCTATATATAACATTTTTGAATTAAGTACAAAATTTCTCCTGGAAAAGCAAAAAAGGAACTTAAACATTTCAAAAAGTACAAAATGAGTGGAAAATTAAAGATACGTATAGCTCTTAATAGAACTTCAAACTTATGTAATTAATTTAGGTAATTACTTAATTAATCTCTTTTATAAAGTTGAATTAGTAGTAATATTTTAATAGCGATAAGTTAGTCGTTGCAAACATGCATTTAAAACTTTTAAAGTTTGAAAACACTAATCTGCGATGTTATGATCTTCCAATGATTTCTAGGTGCTTTACTTTTTACCACGATATTTTATAATACGATGTTTTAAAACTGTGAAGTTTATCAACCGCTTTATTTTCTACGATGATGTTTTATACCATGATGTTTTAGAACTGCTACGCTACTTGCTTTTTCCTCTCCCTCTGTATTTTTTATACGACAATGTTTTCCCTTGCTTTGTTTACTCCACAACGTTTTCATCTGTAATGAAAACGGTGGAAACCTATGGAGTCAACGGAAGAACCTTGCATAACCTTAAATAATAAAAACTGCTTTTCCTCATTAAGCAAAACATTTTAAATTCTAACATGGAAATATTTACTCTCTATTTGTTAAACTTTAAATGTTTAAATCAATACTGCGTACTTACTTCCGCTGGTTTCTTGAGGAGTCGAATCAATTGATTGCCATCCACCATATCCTACTGGCAAATCTGGTCTAGACATCCAGCAATCATTCCAAACATGGAAGTTCCTAAAATAATTTATTATATTTATAATGATTATACATACAGTCGAACTTTAATAAGCCAGTACTGAAAGATATAGAAAAAAATATTGTGTAATCGAAAGATTTCGATGTAAAAACTTTTGACACATATTAATCCTAAAAATCTCCTGTTCTAAAAAATTTTAAGAATTCTACGTAGATATTTACATAAGTATTTTTAATTGAACAAGAAAAAGTGTTTGCGTATATTAATGATAAAAGTTATTCCAGTGAATAAAAGTGCCTAAACGCAAATAAAATCAAGAAATTCAGTTTCTTAATTTAATAATATTTTTAAATATGCTTCATAAAAATGATACTGGCGTAAAATCACATGGTACTAATTCAATTCGACTGGTATTAGCTTGAACTAGGGTCAAGAATAGTAGCGAGTGAGCTTATATTCTCGAAGCGTTGTTCTTGTTTGTGTGAGTGTTTTTATGGTTTCTCTCATGCCTAACAGGAATAAATGTTAAATTTACTTAGGAAGTCCTCCAAGGAGGTTTTCATCCTTCCTATTAGATAGACAGTCTTGATGAGCTTCATAAACAACTAAACAAGAAATTATTCTTACAATTGTTTTCGTGTTCATTTTTTCGCTGTTCTAAGTGCAGTGTCAAGAAAAATGACAAAAACGGTCTTATTGTGGTCTGAAAAGTCGCAGGGTGTAATCCGGAAGAAAATTTGTCGATAAAAATCCCAAACTCAAATAATAAATAGAGAAGCTTCTAAGAATATTCAGCACCATTCGTTATGAAATATGTATTCAGAATTCCATAAAGTCGGGGAGTTATTCAGAGGTTTTTCAAGGCGAACAGAAACTCAACTATTATTATGGACGTATTAGGTTTGAATCCCGCGAACGGGCTGGCTGCATGGGTGTTTTCGTGGTTTTCCCCATGTATAACGTGTATACGAGCCAGTTTCCCTTAGAAAGTCCTCCACGAAGGCATCCCTCCCCTTAGGCAGATAGCCCTTAAGGCTTTTCCGTAATTAAATATGGACGTATTCAGTTTGCTTTTCTGACTGTAAAATTTTACATTTGTGATTATTTGAGTCTATATTCTAAGTTGTTAACGATTTCGTTTGAGACAAAAGACTATTCATTTACTTATTGAATATTACAGGACCTATGCAAATGGTGTAATGCGTTTCATTGTTGTATTTAATAAATTTAAAATACTTTTAATAAGAGATTTGGAGAGCTGAATACACTCTTTATAGAAATGATAGTGTAACAGTGTTTTTGCATTCTTTGTTATAAAATAAGGATGCTTGTTGATTCTAAAATACAGATTTAAAATTTTTGAGCTAAATTTTTGAATTAAAATCTTAAAATGAGTAAAAGAACACAAAATTAAAATTTCGAAGAAGAAATAAGTAAATATTTTTATGTAAATGGATGTAAAAAATTCATTGACTTATCTAATGCCAGCTGTCAAATAAACATAAAAACAGCAGAAATAACTCAAAATATTTTAGAATCCTATTTAAATTTCGTCATGAACTTAAATATAAATAAAGAAATAAAAGGTTTTACCATATCTTGCCTGGGAGGTCTTTACTTTTATAAATTTTAAAAGCTTTGAAAGATAAATTAACCGAAGTAAACAAAGATTCTTTAAAAAAAAAAGGTATTTAGCATTATTACAACACTTGCTAATATTAAATCATGAATGAGGAGGGATATCAAAATTCAATATCAGATGTCAAAAATGAAATATCATTCAGTAAAGAGAAGATAAATAATACATCAGACATACAGTAAAGATGTAACAGAAGATAAATAATACATCAGACATACAGTAAAGATGTAACAGAAGAAATAATACATCAGACATACAGTAAAGATGTAATAGAAAACAGTTCTCGAAATCCTTGCAAAGTACATCGAATACGCAGCGAGAGAAACATTTAAAAAATGTCAAAAACAAATGTAAAGATGAAATAGAGCAGGTAAAGAAATGAACTGGACGGAGGTATGTAAAGCATGGCATAACTGGCGGATGCACAGAGTAAAATAGAAGGCTTCGTATTCTCTTGAAGCATTAAATTAATGATATAATAATCGTAGATTATTTATTTAAATTAGGATTAGCTGGTTGTTATTTCAGCCTTATGTAGACTTTCCTTCTGCATATTCAAAAATAGTTAGCTGAAGAGATCAAGGATAAATTTCACAACCATGTTTTCTTCCTGTACTCGCCATAAAATTAGTTATTCAAGGTAAACCTTTCAAAGTGGGATTCAACTCATCAGTGACGCAATTTTAATCTTTAGATTTTTTCCGCATTACTTTTAATCTGTCCTCGTGTTAACTGATGTTTATAAAGTTTCGAGCTTGCGTTTTTAATTCAAAAATGATGTCGCATTATGCTCAAAAGTTTCATTTTGTAATAAAAATGTATCGATGTTTAATCTTTAAATTCTTATAAATATTTAAATGAATCAAATTATAAATATTGCGTACTACGTTCATGTCGTAAATAATTTTCGAATAATCTCTTACTTTATAAGGATTATTTTAATTTTTTAATAGCTATTTTTAATTTTGAAACTCTTTCCTTTAAATTCTTGTTTTCCGCCTACAACTCCCTCCCAGGATGAGATTTAATTAGAGCGTTTTATGTAAATGAAGTAGAACCAGTATTTAATGGAAAGTTCAGTCACTTCCGCAGAAGAGCTCAGTTCTCGGTAGAGCAGGTTCTGCCTTCGGGGCCACGTCGTTGCTTTAAGCCTGTCTTACTGCGTACAACCGTATTTCATGTGCTTGTTAATATTCGCCGGTGAGGTTTAATTACGGGCCAACTCAGTTAGTTATCTTTGTACAGCTTCGGCTGAAGTTTAGTTAGTTAGAATTAGTTTAGTTTCTTATTTTCTATCTTAAACCCAAGTGTAGGCTTTCCTGTAAGCCCGAAAGAGACCGTCTGTACTATTTCCTTGAGTGAATAAAAGGGCATCTTAAATCTTCTTTGGACTTATATTTTATAGTTGCAGGATGACCAGCGAAGAGTCGCTAGATACCTCCCTAAAGCTCTAGTAGCCAAAGACACAAAAATTAACTAGAACTTTATAACTTTAATCAATTATCTGTAGTATATTTATTTTGTTACATTTTTAAGTAAAGAATCTTGTATTCAAGACAGCAAAAAATTTCAAAATTATGATATGTTTTTAAGTTTTTTATATCGAAATTATTAGTGCATATAACCGTTCGACAAAAATTTCATTTCGGCATCATGAGAAGTAAACCTGCTTCTTTAACAAATTTTAAAATTTCTATATTATGATGAAATTTTAAAAATTTCATATACATTCTCTTTTTACTAATTTTGATTAAATGCTGTAAAATAACATAATTAATTTGTTTAAATTATTAACAAGAAAAGTTTCTATGATATCTAACCGATTTGCATTTTGGTGTGGAAACTAAAAGGAGAAATAATATTAAAAGCTGAAATTATAAATTACTGGTTAGTTTCAAATTCAAAGTGGCCCACCAGCGGCCGACCGGTAAAGTTACTGAACACTGCTTGTTCGGTCCAGGTTTCGAATCCCGCCGAATGCACTGACATTTTCTTAGTTTTCCCCACGTGTAACTTGTACAGGAGCCAGTTTCCCTTAAAAAGTCCTCCATGAAGGCATATCTCGCCTTAGGCAGATAGGAGTGTTTTGCCATAAGCAAATAAACAAACCAAATCAAATTCGAGGTACCTTAAGAAGTAAATAAATTAGAATGTGATGCTCAGAACTAAACTAGAGCTATAAAATCATTGCTGAAATCTTGCGATATCCATTCACACTTTATCTAATGTATACGTCTAAAGATAAGATTTTCTTGAAAATGGGTAGAAAAAAAAAGTGTTAAGAAGAAGTTGTTTTCAATAAATATTTAGCTATGCCAGAAAGACTGAACTTCTTTCAGATTTCATGATTTGTTTAATCTTGGTCTGTAAAAGATACTATACGCATAGGCCAGAAGTAGGCGATTGTCTGTCCAGCAGTTGGTCACTCTTTCTTTAAAGCATTTTAGTGAAAGTAAGTGCAAAAGAGAAAGGATCAGCTATCTAATGGCAAAAATCTTTTACTTGCTTCTTTCAAACGCATTATTCATAATGCTTTCCTGGATTTTAGCTACACACGCTGATGGTTCATAAATTACGAATACTTTCTTCGTACCTGATGTATAGGTAGATTGAAGTATATCATATTTACTTTTTTCTGTTTATAAAAATCATTATGTTAGGCTTGTAAAAGAAAGAAAAACTGATAAATGATTATAAATGAAAATACAATAACATCTGACTTTAGTTTCAACATTACATTTTGGATGGAACTGCAAATGATGATCACTAATTTGTTTCAGTTATTGCAAAAATTGAATTTTATGGATCAGTTTTTTTTTGAGAAGGAAACAATTATTGAAAGCGTTCAACTATATGATTTTTGATAGGTATCTTCTATACAGTTATATATTATCACGCACAAAGATGTAAAAAGTGGTCCAAAAGTTATCGAAGGTTCAAATTAACCAAAACAAAAAGTCAAACAAATCAGTTCAAAGATACAACAAATACGTGAATGAAATGAAATGCAGTCAGAAAGGAAACGAATCCCAATAATAAAGAGTTTCCTTTATCAGGGAAAAAATACTTAATATAAATGTCCCTCGATATAAGTACTATACTATTAAGATCAATTGTGAAAATTCTTTTAAAAAGACAGTTCAGCTGCTGAAAGTAGTTGTTGTTGTTGATTGATGCTCACTTATCTGACCTATAGCCCACGAAATTCCTCGTGGTAAGGAGCGCACGATTACCCCTGCCGTTGGCAACAGCCTTGAATACATTACAGGTGACAGTGTGACATAGCTCAGTTCCTCCCCCCGATTTTGATGGAGAGGATAACGGAGGGACGGGTGTCATACCCCTTTTCCCCTACCACCAATCTCTCGAGAGGATATTCGGCGTGCCGCATATTTATAGTGCCCCATGCCGCACGGACACTATACATTTACAAACATCCATACCTATTCCGGGATTCGAACCCGACCATGTATGAAGCATTAGCCGTGAAAAATAAACAATGCCCTTGCCGGGACTCGAACCTGGACTGCTCGAATACGCGCCGAGTGTGTTACTGTTACACCACGAATGCATGCAGAAAGTAGGGAGAAAATACCTTATAACATGTTGGTGCCCACGGAGCTTTAACTAAAAGCTACTGCGGTGGTACATTGATGAACAATTATACAAGATATCCTTCTTTGGAAATCAGGTAAAAAAATCCTGAATTATCCAGGCATTTGCAGTTGACGCTTAATCAAAGAGTCGAATATAGACGTAAACAAAGAAAGAAAATAAATCCTACCATTGTTACTGAAGTGAGCAGGATTTAGTGTGACGTTTGAATGCACTGGAGACAGAATCAACAACAGGTTATAGAGGTTTTATAACCGCAGTTTTATAGCTATTAATTTTTTCAGAGCAGCAAACGTAAAGAATCAACCGTGATTTCGGCGAGATTCGATCTTCCAGCTGCTAGGTAGAAGTGCTAAGTATTATAGTATGACACACGCAATTTTGGAAATAGAATAAATTCTTAAAGCGGTATAAGTAGCACATCAGAAAGTGCAAAACTTCCAATATGCGTATGTCAAAAATTCCCTATTTACGTATTCTTCATAGGGACTAAAATTTCAATCTTACAAACTACATGTTCTTTATAAACTATGAAATGAGATTATTAATCCACAGAAATTCTTGATGCAGACTGAAAAGTCGAAAGAGATTGTATTGTACAATTTTTTTTTATGTCAGGAAACTGAAAAATTGCACAATGCTCTCGATCTCTGGACCTCCCGAATACGCGTCGAGCGTGCTTCCAGTTAAACCACGTACGCATGAGGAAATGAGGGATAAAATATGTTATCAGATTCATAATGGCTAATTTGCTTCTTCTGAACAAATAAATATTTTTGTTTGTACACCATATTTAATACCTACAAACACTAAATTTCAAAGAAAGACGATTTCCGTACATTTATACAAAACTTCCACTAGATTGACCGATACTTACTATATAGTGCGTTTTCAATACATCCACCAATGTCGGTCCTTCTTCCAGAGAGATGCATATGTAACAAAAGTCTGAAAGGAGTGCTTTATGATAGAGCAGTGTGCTACTTTCTATTACCATAAAAACATGCCAAAAAGTAGAAAAAACTTCCTTTACACAGGAATACAAGGGTCGAATTTCATAATCTATCTCATATGGCAATTTATTTTCAATATTCGGTCAAAAATAACTAATGAAACACTATTGTAACAATGCATGACCTCCTGTGTCATCTGGGTGGACTAATGGATGTTTAATTGAAGGGCTATTTGAATTTCCAAGTACACTAAACCATCTTTCTTAGCTCACAAGGACCGTTCTCGTAGTGTCTTGTCTGTCGCGGGGTTTAGGTGTTGCTACATATGTTGATACTGATAGGTGGTCTTCTGGAGTTTTGTCTCCGTTGGGCCACTCGTGGGAATTTCTTCATTTCTCTCCGGTGGTTAGGTTGTGACTAATCCGAACCTGGTTGCAACTGGCCACCATAGACTGTGTTTTCAAGCAGAAGTAGCCTTGACCCTGGCGGACCGTGTTACGCTGCATATTGCGGTAGCCTTGACCCTTGTAGTTCGTGTTACCTTACGAATTTGTACTTTGTCCCTTCGGAATAACAGTGAAGGCCCAATTCAACAAAGGAAAACAACTTTTTATACTTCAGTTATTTTCCTTTGTTGAATTGGGAGTGTCCTGTTATGATCATGAGACCAACTTGTTTGCTTAGGTGGGTCTGTCTGCTCCCACTACTGATACTGATACTGATACTGATACACCACTCTGCTATTAAATGGCATAATCATTGCTTCCACAACAGGCAAGTGATATTTTGCTAGACGGGGGACATTAGACCTAGGCATTGTTACGCCCATACACAGTTAATTATCCACATCTAGTGGCGACTCAAAGGGGCGCAGTTTCCGTTGTCAGTCCAAGGATGAACGGAGTGGATGAACGGAGACGAAACCTCAGAGGACCACCAATCAGTATCAACATATGTAGGCAACACCTAAACCCCGAGACAGACAAGACAGTACGAAAACTGTCCTTGCCGACCACTGAACAACCAGTTGTTCTAGTCCTGTGAAGACAACTTATGTTCCCCCGTGCGGAGGCCGCTTAGGTACAGATCTTAGCCAGCACCCTGTCGACCTCCGAGGGGGAGAAAGCAAGTGATATTGTAATTATTTTTGCTAGCTTAAGTATTGAATAATTGCCATTGAGAAAAGCAACTCTTTTTTTTTTTCAAAGAAATCGCTTCAGGTACCCCGTACTCATTGTTTTTCAATTCTATATTCGTTTTCGGACCATATTGTGCACTTATCGCAATTAGCTACGAGTCTCGAAATTTTATTTAAGTTTTTTCGACAACGATTTTTATTAGAAAAATATGATGCGCAAGTCATCTAAAAGAACAGAAAATTAAATGCTCCATACCATATGGAATCGTTGCTGACTCCCTCAATTTTCTCTCCTTTCTCATCGAAGTACTTATCCACTGTCAAACTACGATCCGTATCATGAGCAGATACGAAATTCGTAACTGTTCGGCAAGGAATTCCCAATGTCCGACACACTGAAATTAAAATTAGATTCTGTTAGAGATTTTATTCAGCTTATTTACAAGTAAGCATAATGTTTTAGCATAGCGTATAACTGATACAGACAGAAAATAAAGTTCAAATTGGTCACTTTTGGTGAAAACTTCTTACAGTTTTGACAGGACTATTGATTCTGTCCGAGGAACTTAATTATATAATTGCATTCCGCAGACATTAATTTCACAATAAGCACTGCGCACATTGCTTACGCTGAAATTTTAGTGAATTCTTTATTGCTAAAAGATTTCATTCTTGGGTAATATTTTATCAATATTTAGTAGTAAAAATTCTTTTTGAAATAAAAAATACTAACTGGAACTGAAATATTAACTAACTGTATAGTAAAATATTTACATATTTTATTTCAAATATTGCGTAAGAATACAAATATTAGGTCATTCACATTTATGAGTGACACATAATGTGCAGTAGATTTATCATAAATCCTAAAATTATTATTTTTACGTTGCGCATATGAAAATAACATAGAAAATATACAAATTGACCGAATAGAGATGACTTTTAAGTTTTCACTTTCAATTAATACTATTTCCAAAATTAAAATTTCTCTTTAAATGAATAAATATTTATTTTGCCATTCGTGATGATGATTTCAAAAAATTATAAAATGATTAATACATAAAATTTAAGACCTTTACTTTCAAGTGTTGTCTAAATTATCCTTTAAAATAATTAAAATTGGTTGTACTTGCTTTCTTCTTTTGCTGGTGCAAACTGAAAAACCTTCGAATAAAAAATCTGCATTTTACATTTTCAAAATAATTTGACAAGTGCAAGGGAAAGTTACTCTACCACGAAAGTTGCTATAGTTGTCACATCCACTGCCTTGCAGCAAAATAGTTTGAGGTAGAAGTGGGCGGGACACCGGAATTTCACCATTGGTTGTAAAGGTATAGTCCCGTTGAACTAACTGCGCAGGCGCGACCCAATTTTGAGGGAGAATACCCCGTGGAACTGTCCGATAGTCTCTAACACTTCTTCACTAATGTATCGAGAGGACTTTCTGCTCGCCTTGCATTTTCAGCGCTCCCTTGCCGCACAGATACTATACTCTTATAACCATCCATGCCTTCTTCGGGATTCGAACCCGGGCCCATCGATACGGCATTCAGAGTTATAAACTACTGTATCAGGTAGGTGGCTTAAAGCAATGCAACATTTTAATCCTTGAGAACGGTTTTTCTTCTTTCTGTGAGTTTATTATATGGATACAGGAAAAAAGATCACTGCAAGTGCTATTAGTGGTATTCTAATTCTCGCGTTTTGCTTCTGTATTGTTCTCATTATTAAGTAATACTATAACTAGCAATTTGGGCTTTCCTCTCTCGTTCGACTTAACAGCATATACAGGTCCACCTCTCCCTTTGGAGCACGTCACAGAGGTTCAATCTCCATTATTGCCCCTCCAGGAGAGGGCGCACTACCTGGCCCCGTGCCAGGCGGTACTGGTCGTTTGATTTGCTACCTGCCAGTCGCTCGGGTTTGCCCGTCGCAGTGGGACATTACCCAGCGAACCGGGGTGCACCACTACCCCGGCTACTAGAGCCATACCGCTCAGAACGTGCCAGACCCGAGGCCGGCCAATGAGTGACCTTTCCCGAGGCCTTTAGAACCACCAGGTTCATAAATTTTATACCCCCGTGGCCGAGATTGCCTAGGTACAGATCCAAGCCAGTAGCTCCGCAGAGTTCTCTACGTCGACCCCCCCGGGGGGCGCGGTAAGTAATACTAGAAGTTTTTCGAAACTGAAATTAAAAAAATTTAGTTCAAATTCTAAATCTGATATAATTTGCTCATTGTAGTAATTTTGAAATGATCGGCATTTTTTGCTAATAAAATATTTATGCAGTTTTTCGATAAATATATAGTATAATTTCTACAGAATACAAGACAATTATCCATGGAAGAAGTTTTCAATGTCTATTCATAGCAAAATTTATACAATATATGAAATAAACAATGTAGAGAGCATTTAAACCCTTTTCCAGAAATCATTGCGGATGGTTTCCTATTTGCAATAAGTGCAGCTGAGATGTTTGACTATGCAAGTTTTATTTAATATAAAATATCAACGTAAACCAACCTGTTGTAGCAACTCCAGCAAACACCCAACATTGTCCATACTTCACAGACTGTTCGCCTCCGTTTTTAAAATATTCATCCATAATGGCTGCACTGCCAGTCCACATCCAGGGGGCCATGCCATCATCATACATTCCAGACCAATTTCCTACAACGATACCTTTATCGTCATTTTCGCTGTTAACCTAAAAGAAATAATTTTCATTTAATTGTCTATTATATTTATATTGTGTGAAATATCTCAGCAGATTCATAAATTATAACATCTTTTCCATAATATACTTTCCTATTAATTCTCACACTACCAGTTCTTAATTCTACGTACATATTACCTTTTACTACTTACTTAATGAAGAGAAATACGCAAAACAACCACATATGCGTATATTGAGATATGTATGTACGCTTAAATGTTTCATTACAGATACAGTTAAGTTACAATAAAACCAGCCTTCTAAAGATAACTTGCTTTTATTGAAAATGAAGACATCCTAATAAAAAAATCGAATTTTTACACAGCGTAAAGAACTAATTATCGGCTAATTTAATACTTTTCTTTCAATTAAGACACTTTTCTTTCATCTAACAGCAATAATTTAAACATGCAGAAAACATTCATTAACTAGTGAGAATGAAATTAACTAGTGAGAATTAAACTTTCATTAACTAGATTATGGGTGATTGAATATAATATAATCATTTAATCACCCATGATCCTTTTAAAGGAAATAAGAATAATTATAATAATATTGTAACGTAGTTGGTGGAAATGTTTTTAACTGTAGAGTCTTGTTCGCCGAAAGACTTGCTGTTGTCCCCACTTGCTTGCCAATATCTCTCGCATTTTCTCCAATAACATTTGACAATCTTTGACTACACATTTCAATATTATTCTCATCTGTGCAACAATTTGGATCAGAACATATTTTTAATCTGTGGTGATACTTGGCAAGACTGCCGAGTCTAATCATTAAAGGAATGATGTCATGAATAGAACACCATATCGTACGAGGGGTACTGGAAAAATGAATCCTTCCAAATTTAACCAATGTTCCACTTGCATAGATTAAATACTTTCAAAGATATTATTAGCAATTTACCCACAGAATGTAAAGGAATTAATTGTTGGTAAATAGATATAAAATTCTTTATTATTTAGCAGAAAATCTGTTATTTCCTCACCATATATTCCAAAATGCCAGGCGGTACTGGAATTATTACATATATTCCAGAATGCCAGAATGGTTTGAATATATTATAATGTTGCTGTTTTATGTTTAGACTGCAGTAGGATTAAATTGGTGTATGGTATTTTTTAATCTTTAAACTTGAGAGTAGTAATGTGACAGCTTGAATAGCAGATATGGAGTTCGAAAATGTCACAGCATTTTCAAAACTGTCAGTTTTCTAAAATTAATTATAGACTGGAAAATATGATATTTTTCTCAGATGTGTAAATATATACATGTTGTAAACGGACTGAAGAAGAATGTCTGCGAAGGAGAGTTAAAGGATTGATTACAGCAACTTTGCATACTTTCAAATCTTATTTATAGTTTTGATTTTATGAATTCTCTCAACAGTCTCTTTTAATGTGCGCGTGTATGTTAAATAGACGGAAAGAAAGTCCAGTTTTCTTTTTTCTTTTTTCTTAATCTGTTTTGCAATTTCCCAGCATATATTTTTGATAAAATCGGTTATGGCTACAGGAAATATTAAACCATTTCCCATAATTAGCAATAGATGGCAGCACCAAGAACGAATTAGAAATTGCCTTTAGTATCAATTTAATCCAATTTTTCTAACGGAATTAAAAGTTGCTTCAATTAACCACTTTTAATTTCTTTCTTTGATTTTAGTTTAACGTATTTTTTACTGCAGTTTTCCTTTTAGAGATGGCTGTTAAATATTTCATTCGCAAAAAGTTTTTTAAATACTTTTATAACTATTAGTTAGATTTTCTGAGTGTACTTATAATTACGAATTGGGGTTTGTTAATTAAGAATTACATGATCACTATTTCGAAATGCGTATTTATTCAATAATAAAAATTTAATTTATCCATTCCAAGCTAATTAACAGCTCAATTCTACTGATTGAATGCATCTGTACTTATGTTATTTTTTTTAACATTTATTAAAACTATTAGAAATCTCAGTTGCTTCAGTAATTAAAAAAAATATTCAGACAAACTATTAAAAAATATCTTACCAGCTTTGAAATAGCTCTGGAAACAAGAATGGGACTAGCTCTACCCGTAGAATCCAGACCGGAATGATTTAACATCAGCATAGTCGCCGGTAGCACAGAATCTGCAAACTGTGGAAGAATGCTTTTATTAAAATTTGTTCTTAAGTATTATAGTTTAAAATTAATTATAATAAAACATACACGAGCATGAATATTTAAAATAAAGCATCCAGTTTTGAGCAGCAGTACCACATATTTTGAAAGTAGATGAATTTCAGCATCAAAATCCTTAAGGTCACTGAAAAATTAGAAACATTTGCACTGCCCATTCCAATAAATATAGCATTTTATTTGATAGCAAATAGGGTTGCTGTTATTGTTTTGCTCGTGAATTCATCTTAAGGTTACTTTATTGATGAACTGTTCTCTCTTTCTAGTCAGTTCATTCAGATTTTTAAAAATAGGTTTAAAAGTTTTACAAATAGGTTTCTTTCTTTCTTTCTTTTTTTTTTCTTTCTTTCTTTCTTTCTTTCTTTTTTTTTTTTTATGAACTAAAAAATATTTATGAGAAAAATCGTTAAATCTTTCTGTGCGTTGCAGAGGTCTCTGCCTTGTTTTTGAATTATTACTTTTAAAATCAGATTTGCCCTAACTTCTTTTTGAATTAAATACTCTGGAATGATTTATTCAGTAATGTATCTACCGATGAAGCATTCAAAGAATTACCTTCACTATCACGAGCTATTTTACAGTCCCTGTCCTGGAAGTGCATAAACATAAATTAAGATTGCTTGAATTTCTATAAAACACATGGGTGTCTGTCTATAAATCTTTTTTTTTTTTTTTTTTTTTTTTTTTTTTTGAGCTGTTCGTATTTTGAACCATGCAAAAATGCTCAATCATTTGTCTTCACTTCTGTTATTCATAAGGTTAATTTTGTTCGTACTTTGAATCCTGCAATAGTGCTCAATAATTTATGTTCACTTCTGCTACTCATAAGGAAGCTTAATTCTGCTCGTACCTTGAATCACGCAACAATGGTCAATGGACAAAAGAGATGGCATCAACATCACGAAGATATACCTGTAGAAAGCACCTCAAGCATCCAACACCGTCCCAAGTGCTATAGAACGTTATTGCCGTCTGGTGTTTTAGGATATGGCACGAATTCATGCATACGTCGACGACTTCACTCTAATTATAAAAGGAGGTAACAGAAGCATAATAGGGAGAAAGGCCCTAGAGATCCTCACGAACTAGAGTGAAGATTATAAACTAAAATTTAACGCAAATGATACTGTTCCCAAAAAAGGATCAAGATAGATTCGAACAACCCAAGGATTAAGTGGCAATACATACCACTCAGGAAGCAAGATACGCTATGATACCTCGACTTCGTATTAGACAAAAAGCTCACCAGGGTACCCCATCTCTCCGAAATAAGAGGCAATGCTAACTAACTAATTAATATCCTAAACCGAATGGTCAACGTCCAATGGAATCTAAAGGGAACGCTAATAAAGAAATCGTACCTGAGAGCCATAGAAAGAATGGCACTCTACGGAAGCCCAGTTTGCATGACAGATACGACAAGAATCTGTCAAAAACTTTTAAAAATTCAAAAAACAGCACTTTTAAAAATAATAGTAGTCTCTATGACCACGTCTACAGCCACTCCGCAGATATTAGCAGGAACAATGACTCTAGACTTCAAAGCTGTCTTAGAAAGGCTATAGACCATATGGGCAAGAAGCTTGACGCAAACCTCCATCAGCTGCCATACAGACAGCATGAGTGTGCAACAGGTCTTAAACAAAAGAGGAGAAAGGTTGATACACGTATTGACTACGAAAGAACTTTTTCGTACTCAAACTGAGAGTCATCCAAGCCGACTCAATTGAATACGTAGACACACAGGCCGAAAGAGGAGTGAAAGAGAAGACGAGCTTGCAAATCAGACAACCCAGAAAGAGGAAACAATCGTGGAACTATTTATCTCGGAGGAGGTAGCAAAAAGTAAAATTAAGAAACCCTTCCTAAAGAGAATCAAGTCTAACCACTACTGTGATCAGTCCTGTACTAATCACGGAAAATTCTCAGCATACTACAACATGTTTCTCAATAGGAATGCCAAATGCGTCTGTGGCACAGTAGGTACAAGCGTCGACGCCATACATTATCTTGAAGTTTTCCCAAGCGCAAGCCAGCTAGCTAAAAGCGTCTCACCTTCCATCTAACTTCAATAACCTCTCTTTGTCAGCAGTCTTTAAAACTACTACTGTTCCAAAGGCATCGCCGAGATTATCTCTCCCATCAACAAAAACCTGCACATCACAGAAGAAGAATAAATGTAACAGGTCAAAGAACCTAGCCAAGACATCGTAAGCTGTGACTTGCGTTGTGTGTAAATATTTGTAAATATATCCAACTAACACTGATTAAATGTAACTAACAACGAGCTACAACTGAGGTAAACTGATAGCTCTCATTCTATGCATATGTATTTGTAGTTGTCTTTTGATGTAGTTTTCTTTCTTATAAAAAATGACATAACGTCCACTAAAAAAGAGAAGAGTTAACTTGACAGCCTAACTGTCGAGAAAAAAGATGGTTACTAGTGCAACAATCAGGATGATTTCAAACCCTGTGGGGACTTCACCATGAATGGCGGAACAGGTTTAGTGTCCCAAACACTAGTGCACTTCTAATACTCATAAGGATAATTCTGTAGATGTTCTTGCTATTTAGTAGCATCAGCATTCTATTCTATTTTTTCCTAGAAATATAATTAAAATTAATTGTCGAAAGATTAAAAAAATGCTCAAAAGTCTCATTCAATGTCGGTAATAATATTAAGGGGGAAAGGGGTTTTCCGTTAACTTCGGGTAGCACTTTAAATTGCAATATTAAAGGCGATTAAACTGTATGAAACCATATATACGCTCGTTAAATCTTTTTTTTTTTTTTTTTTTTTTTTTTTCGAATTTAATATATTGTGGTTGCTGGTAAAAGAATAATATGTTAGTACGATTTAAGATAAACTTAATGATATTTTCTTTGAACGTTTATGCAGGTCATGAAGACTTTTCATATCTTGTCTGCGATGTAAATTATTAAAGTATTATAATACATTATGTAAAAATGATTATTAAAAAGAACAACTTTCGTAAGTTTATCATTTTTCAACTCACTTGACCATAAATCCATCTTCTTCCTCGAGGTTCTTTCTGTGTTCCTACGAAAATCTTACCGACGTCATTCAGAACGTATTCTCTTCTGGCATCTTCTTTTTCCAAATATACGGTATCCTCTACCAATTAAAAATGAAATCATCTAAATTTTTAACTCTAAAATAATGTATTAATAAAAGTGCGTACGCACCGAATAATTTTATATTATGTGTATAAGAAAATAAAGCGACATTTCAACACTTATTGGTTTCTGGAATTCATGATAACATTTGCTTGAAGATTAGAGGAACAAAGAGATGTATACAGATTCTGTCAAAATATTTCGATATTCAAAGGTAAAAACATGAGTCAGAAGTTTATAATAAAGTTAAGAACAGAGAAGTTAAGTTAACAGTAAGAGTAAGTTACACATAAGAGTTAAATTGCTAGAGTTACTTAAAGTTTATGTTTAACTTAGAGTGAATTTTATGTTCATCTTAGCGTTAAGTTGAACATAGAATTAAGAACATAAGTTGGAATTTCCTAATATTATAAACGCAAATCATTTCACTTAACAGCATTCAAATTTCCATCATCTGTGATATTATATTAAGCTGCTTTAATTAGAAATGAAAATGCTTAAAAACAGTTATAGCAAAATAAAGGGAGGATAATTATTTAATTTAAAATTAAATTTTCTAATTGCATAATTATGATGCATATCACAAAGTTTTGCATCATGTTATGCAATTACAGAACATAGAATTACAATAACTACAAATAATTTTATTAGTATTATATTATGCAGTTAATGTTAAGTATCACCTGTTTAATACCTGAAAAATTATTTTTAAGAAAAGCAATTCTTTTTTTCTACTCTAAAATTGTAGTAAAGAATACAAAACTTAAACTTGAATTTTAAATTTAAAGCTGTAGTTAAAAGACGAAAAAATACATAAACTAAATTTAAAAAACAGAAAAATATAAATTACAATTAATGCAAATAAATAGTTGCATCCAGTTATCTAAATAAAAGCAAATTATTTTATCTTACTTATTGAAAATAATCATTTGACTACTTATGACGTTTCTGCATCCAAATATACACTTTGTAATTTAAAAAGCGGCATACCAAGAAGGAATTATCCGAATGGGACAAAATCAGTAAGTTTTGACAGTACAGGTTTTGAAACGAAACGCTAACAGTATCATGAGAATTGATTATTTTTAAGAAATACAGCTAGAAGAGGAAAAAAAGATCAGCATAGAATTGGCCCTTCTTTGGTCCTGATGGAAGCTGTTATATGCTCGGCATAGACTGCTTGAGTTGGAGGATGTACCTCTGCGAGATTGCTTGCCATGTGTGTTCCAGCTGACGTGTTACATCAGTGCGATCCAAAGACGAGCAGAGATCCTTGTTCATCACAGCCCAAACGTACTCTACTGAGAAAAGATTTGGCAATCGCGCCAGCCAGAGAAGTATTGCAGAAACACGAAGACTGGCAGGAGAAATGAGAGCCGTGTGCGGACGAACGCTAGCTTGTTGAAATGTAAACCCAAGCGCCTATGAAAGGAAGGGCTACACGATGGAGCGTAAAATCTCGCCGACGTACCCCCGTACTATATGTGACAGGGATGACAACAAAAGGGCTTCGGCTATCGAATGAAACGATATCATATAATTGTAACTCCTGGTTTTCGAGCTGTATGGTGGATGATAGTAGGTGAGTGGCTCACCGATGTTCAGAACGTCCTCGCTGGCCATCGCTCAGTTCGAAACGGATCTCATCTCTGAAAGCAGTTCTACTCCATTGTGTTAGATCCGATACCAAAATTATATTAATCCAGTCCAATTTATGTTTCTTGAAAGATATTGTGAAGTAGATTGTTTTGAAGCACATAGAAGTATCTGTTTAGAGTGACAGATAATTTTGTAAAAGACTTTCTAAGGGAAACTGCGCCTTTTTCAAATTACACATGAAGGAAGCCACGAAAATGCCTATGCAGTAAACTCTTTTTCGACAAGAGGCCCACCAGCAGCCGAGCGGTAAAGTCTCTGAACACTGGTAGTTCGGTCCGAGGTTCGAATCCCGTGAACGAGCTGGCTGCATGGGTGTTTTCGTGGTTTTCCCCATGAGTAACGTGTATACGAGCCAGTTTCCCTTAGAAAGGTCCTCCACGAAGGCATCCCTCCCCTTAGGCAGATAGCCCCCGAGGCTTTGCCGTAATTAAATAACCTAACCTAACCTAACCTTTTCGACAAGATTTGAACCCAGATCGAGATGCAGCGTTCAATGGTGTTATGCACTCAGCCCCTGATAGACGAAAAAGAGCTTATTTGAAAATCATGTTTTGTATTATAGGAAAAGGATGTGCAACATATAGAGAACGCAAAACACCAGAGAATGTTACTTTATTTATGTTGCATAGTTTAAAAAAAACCTTGCTTCAGTAGAAACTTATATTTCTTTTATAATTTTTTATGAATAATTTAACACAATATCCTCTCGCCCGAGTTACGTTGAAGATGAAAAAAACCTGACGTCAAGTGGTATTAAAAGCGAATTACTCAACATATTTTTCTTTTTTAAATGCTTCTTTGCTTAATTTGAAATTTGCTGTTAAAATAACTATTACTTTGAAAGAAAGAAATGATGATATTATTTTCATTAAAAGTGAACAGTTTATTTTATTATTTTAACACTAACCCATTCAGATCAACTGTTCCTAAATGCACCTGAGAATTTCTGAATTTTAAGATATATAAAACTTAGTATTTGTAGATCACTTAAAATTATAAATAAAGTCCATTAAATTTTCTGCCATTTTCTGAACACTGCATATTCTGATAACTTTATATTTCATGAAATATTTATCAGTTTTTAAAAAGTAAATGTCAGTTTTTTAAAAATATTACCTAATTTAATAGTACATTATTGAATTTGAGATTAGTGTGCCTAATTTGGAAACATTATTGAATTTGAGACTATCATATTTTTTTAAAATTTAATGTAGGAAAACGATATTATCATCATTCTTTTTTCTTTTCAGAATTTCAAATATACATGCAATACATACCTTTGCTCCACGGATTAAAAAGGATGTACACATTTTGTGGTATCTCATAAACTTCAGGTTCGGCGCTGAGGTTACCACCTACATAGGATAAGATTTTCATTTTCCACACTCCCACTGCAGCACTGCCGGCTATTTGCACATCAATAGTTATGACAGCTCCTTCATGCTGATGTGTTCGAACGTCCCACATTTGCCTTTCCCTTGTAAACTGAGATACGCTAGTGATCGGAAGACTTATCAGATTTCCTTTTTGCATCATATACGGTGGTGGACCTGAAAAAAAAAATTAGGCATATTCGTATAACGTATAACATTGATCTATATGACTCAGATAAAATCTTACTTAATCCACGTATACAAACTACTTAATACGTAATCCACTTATACAGACATTAGGTTATTTCGATGCTGGAGCAATGCCCTCGCCGGGACTCGAACCTCGGACCTCTCGAATACGGGCCGAGTCTGCTAACCATTACACCACGAAGGCATGCTAAGAACTTGGGAGAAATAACTTATATGCTCCTCCATTTAAAGGGCGACTGATGATTAGGAAACCCAATCGCCAAATCCTGGTGGTGGAGAATCATCACTCACCACGTTTTTTAGCTCGCTCACCACTGTAGAGACATTAGGTTATTTCAAGCAGGAGACATGAAAAATGAGCAAAGCCCTAACCGGGATTCGAACCTCAGACCACTCGAATAGGCACCGAGTTTGCTGACCATTACACCACGAAGGCATTTTATGAAGGCGGGAGGAATACCTCATACACTAAATCCAAGAAATCCACTAAAATCTATTATTCTTGTATTATTTGCTATTATATATATGTTTGGTACAGACGATTGCAATAAAAATGGAAGTTACGCGTTTTTGAGTTATTCCAGATGCATACATATATACGTATGTACAGACGTACAGATGTCACGAAAAAAGTTCCTTTTTAATCCATTTTACAACCCGTTTGGGGAAAAAGAGTCCTTTATTCTGTCCGTACGTACAAACGTCACGCAAAAAACCGTCCAGATAGATTCAGAACAGTCAAAATGGACGTTTTAGTTTAAATATTACTGAAATTAGTTAGTCCATTAGGGCGAAAATAATGAAAGATAATTTATAGCGTAACGTGATTTTAGAAGTGGAACGATTGGGAAAAGCGTTTTTAAAATCAAAATTAGTACTTACAGCAATGCTACAATTTGAAAGCAGAAACTGGATTTGATTCAAATTCTTTTATAAAGAAGAAAAGTATTTATGTATTTTCTCTTTTGTATGTGGTCTGTAATTAATACAAATATATAAAAATATGATTAAATTAGTAATATTTATAAATTCTTACCGAATTCGAAGTGTAATCTAACTGTGTCGAGTTGAGGATTGAAGATCTTCTTGAACCTTATCGCCATATAGAAAGTCTGGCCTCTGCGAACGATGAGCGAAGAGTCTTTCGAATCCAGAAGTTCATAAAGGTGAGTGTTATGAAGTTTGGCATTCTCACGGGCGTAGAGTTCTACTCCTTGAACTTGAATAGGTCGGGGGCCCACTGAAGTACAATATCGAAATATTCTCTTTAAATTACATAAAGGCAAATATGAAAGCATATTAAGCATATTTTGTCTTGTTTCTAAATTAGAACAAGGCTAAATTTACGAGTGATAATTAAAAAAAGGATAGAAATAATCTTTATTTATATAAACAGTAGCTTGCTAATTGGAAATTTCTCTGTAAAGGGAATATGCAAAACTTTTATTAAGTGTATTTTTAAATTTACTTTCTGAGTAAAAATTGTAGTATTGAAAAGTTAACATTCTTTGATTTCGTCCTTTATAGCTATGAGTTCATTAGCGATCGTTTAAGTAATATTTAATCACGGAGTCTTTGAGAAATATTTTTATAAGAATATTTGATCGAACTTCTTTTGAATGATAATTGTTCTCCCGATTTAAAATCTGCTATTACATATTTAAAAGGAAATAATAACTGCCTTTTTTACAGTATGGAATAATAATATTTTTGGTCAGCTATCAAAAAATCATTTTCCTTATAATTTTGTTTTAACTCCACAAAGCTACAAAAAGCCTCAAAGACACGTAGTGGCACCAGTCTTACCTTTATTATAATTACTTAAACTAGGTATTGGAAGTTAGAGAAGAGAGATCTAAGCACAAGCAACCGTTACATCGCTTACCATTGACTGAAAAATCATCTTAAAATTCATTTAGCGTTTTACCACAGCAGCGAGAACAGAGTCAAAAATAGATCACTGGTGTTTTCTTCTCGTAACTGATTGCTGAATTGCTGAATACCTTTTTGACCTGAGCACTCCGGTTCAATGGATTCACAGGTAGCAACACCTTTGTAAAAGGATAGATTCCCATTTCTTTGGTAATTGCTACTCTACTTTGCATCAGGTATGGTGGTTTAGCGCATACGACAGCATATCATATATTTTCTGCATCAAAGGTATACTGACAAGAGAATAATACAAAAGCTAGATTTTGAAATCCATTTGCGGTTGTGTTAAGTTGTATGATGCTGTAAAGTTAATTGATTTATAAGACTCCATTTTACATTAAGATAAAGCAACTGCAAAGTTCTGACAACGGTTTAATATATTCAGGCACTTCCATAACTTGCTAGATAACCTGAAAACCGAACACATAGGACTACATCTGATGCCATCTGCTTCACCGAGAGCTTGATGAATTACGGAAGCAAGTCAACGATGCTTAATATTAAGTTCTACAGTTTATGTTCATAAGCTGTATGTCTCACTGCCATTCCGTATTACCATAGACATTCGTACCGGTACATCTGTTGCCATTCTCTAAGAGCTGGATAAATTATGGAAGCAAGTCAACTGGCTTAATATCGAGCTCTTCAGTTTATGTCCATAAACTGTACTTCTCACTGCCATTTCATATTTCTAGATATACGACTATTTGCACTGGTACATCTGATGCCATCTACTAATCCCAGAGCTTCCTAAATTATGGAAGTTAGTCAACTGTGCTTAATATTCAGCTCTTCAGTTTACGTCCGTAAACTATAATTCTCACTGCCATTTCATATTGCTAGATATAAAGCTATTCACACTCGTACATTTGATGCCATCTACTAATCCAAGAGCTCGATAAATTATAGAAGTTAGTCAACTGTGCTTAATATCGAGATCTTCAGTTTATGTACTTAAACTATACTGTACACTGTTCATAAATTATTACTGCTATTTCATATTGCTAGATACACAGCCATTCGTTCTACTGATACATCTGATGCCATCTGCTAAACCAAGAGCTCAATAAATTATGGAAGCAAGTCAACTCTACTTAATATTCAGTTCTTCAGTTTATGTACATAGACTATATGTACCTCTGCCATTTCATACTGCTAGATATATAGCCATTCATACTGTTCATCTGATGCCATCTGCTAATCTAAGAGCTCAATGAATCATGGGAAGCCAGTCAAACATACTTAATAATCGAATCTTCAGTTTACATCCATTAAACGTCCCGCTGGCCTTTCGTCCCACTGCCATTTCTACACACATTCGTAATAGCTGTAGGGCAAATTCGTAATAGCATTTAGTAGGGCGTTTACATTATACATTATCAACTTATCTTCTAAAAATGATGGAAATAAAATCAAGACAAATCCTTATGTGTTCCCTATTAACATATTCTGTTTGACCCTTATATTTGAGGTCATTCTGAATGAGGTAACCTAACCATCCAGCAGTATACTGTATCTGAAGTGTTTGAAGTTCATTCTCATAGAATTATTCTCGCGTTTTGATAAACTAGGAATTGTTCAATAATGATTTACCTCTTAAAGTTGGTTGCGGACCAGCGTGCATTCGCCGTTTCCTTTCTATGTCTTCCCGAAGTCTTGCATACTGCTCCCGCTTGTATGCTTCCTCATTACTAGCGGACTCTATTGGAACATATCTCCCTATGGTACTAGGAGGCCTTGCCATTTTGTAGCTCCTTTAAATGGTTTGGAGTATCAGATGAATATTCGGCCTGCACAAAAAAGGAGAAAGCAAACGTTAACTGTTGCAGCCACAATGCCAAGAAAGTCATTGTTCATTAGATGTGTTAAATCTAATTGAAGTAAAAGTTAAATTCATGTTATTATTTAAATTAGTTGACAAGAAAAAGGCAACTTTTACGTTAATTCAGAAATAATTCAAAACCATAGCATTTTGTACATGCTATAAAAATGTACTAATATAAAAAGAAATGTATTAAATTCGTAATCTGAAAATGTTCTAATATTCTAAAATATAATGAAGAAAACAAAAAAGTCTATTTTTGCAGTGTATTCTCTGATTTGTAAGCGGTTTCGAATATTATGTGGCCGTTGCCTTAAACCACAGTTAAATAACACGGTTACAAAGTAACATTTGAAATAATAACTATAAGTACAGTGTGATCACGAATACTACGATCAGGGTTGAGCCTGTGTCTAACACTTAAACCGACAGTTAGAAAAACAGGTCGTAAATTTATGAAAAACAATATTTTTGTAATCCCGAAAAATTTCGGGTATCATATTTCATCGAAAATATCCATTTCAACCGCTCTCAAAACCAACTGAACGATTGAACGATGTTTTTACGTGACATCTGTATGTCCAGACAGAATAAAGGACTGTTTTTTCCAAAACGCTTTGTAAAATAGATTTAAAATGGATTCAGCAGAGATTTTTTTTTTTTTTTTTTTTTTTTTTTTTGACGTCTGAACGTACGTATTTACTTATGTATCTCGTATAACTCAAGAAAGAGTAGCCATAGAATATTGAAAATTTGTATATGGAATTGCTATAACACGCAGTTGTGCACCTCCCTTTTTCGTTGCAATCGGCTGCCCAAATTATATATAAATATGTATATATATTCCCATTCTGCTACCTGGCTCGGTGAGCTTAGTTTTTTTTCTTATATATTGGTAAATCGTGCATTTTTTGCATTAAAATTTATTGAATTATGTGGTTTTTATGTTCCCTTTGATGTTTTTGTGCCTTTAGTTAATTTGCATGCAATATTTGTAGAATTATCAACAATTTAAAAGTTTAAGTAGCGAGTTAAGCCTAACGAATTGCCATTTGTTTACATTTGAAACTCGGTAGAATAGTGAATTAAGTAAATTTTTCCACCTTCAATCGCTTTCCGCCGAGTGGAACCGAATGTAAACTTTCAGTTTTGTGTACCGAAACATCTGCCTTCTGGCTCTCTGGCGGAATTGCTTGATTTCTTCGCACAAACTCTAATTTTAACTGCAAAAAAAAATTGACTGTTTTAACTCGTTTTATGATTTTCTGTATTTTACAATTTTTACTGAAGGTGTTTTGAGTTCTTATGTATTTTTGCTTTGACGCGAAGTGTGATTGATTTAATTGAACGATAAATATACCTGCAATGAAATTCGAGGAAATAAGTTTAAATGAAATGCAGCAAAAAATGTGTTTAAATTAATAGGTCATACAAGGAGGACATGTGGTGCTCACATCAGATTTTTTACATATGTGATTTTAAAAACTCACTTGAGATTTGTTTTGATTTTCAAGATCACCCGTCGCATTTCCAATATGTGCAGCCAATTAAAAGTACTCAAATTTATAAGAAATGTATGCGTTAATTATAAATAGAAGGATTACATATAAATAAATAAATAAAGGGATTTGTCTTAGCGTTTGGAATAATTATAGCCCACAAGACAAAAGTACTTATACCTTGGAGAATAAAAATATTAAAATAAAAATAAGAAGAGTTCAATAACGCCAAACTGAATCAATTGAATGTTGGACTAAAAATTGGTTAATGAAAAATCCCTCCAACTGAATTCAGTTATAAACCTGAAATCATGAACATCACTTGACCATTACTTGGATTTACTCAAAATGAGAGACTGAAAATAGTGACAAGGAAAGAAAGACCCCCCCCCAAGGGTAAAATATTTTTAAATTACCATTTTACCTAAATTATGGTATTCCCCCTATAATTATATATGTTACCGTGAAAGACCGAAATTGGAGAATGTCGATTTTCACCGGAGAATATCAACATTCACCAAATACGTCGGTGAAAGATCGAATATTGCACTACATTCTTGTATATTCGGACCCTCACCGGTGTATGTCGACAATCACAGATATGCTCTGGTGAAAGTCGAAAAGAGAGGTCATAAAGTGCCATAATAGTTTAAGTTGTTGCAATAAATAAAATTTGAATCACATAATTTAGTAAGTTTTTTATTACGGTTATTTTATTTTCTCATTTAGAACGTACTGTATAATTAAGTAAGTTTTTAACTTCTATTATTTTCCTTCTCATTTTGAATGTATTGTGTGTTTTAGGTTCTCATGTTCTTAAGTTATTTCAAGTCTCAAGTGCGTTTATTCGCGACTGAATTACGGAGAAGAAAATATAATATTGTTATATGTTCAACATTCACCATTAGTACATGGTGAATGTCGACATTGACCGGTGTAAGCCAGAAATAAGAGTATTTGGAAAATATTTCGGACATACACCAAGAGACTATCTGAATGTTGACATTCATCGGTGAAAGTCGACATTCTCCAGATTTCGGTGTTTCACCGTAACATATACACATGTTTGGTTGTTTCAAAACTAGTTGTATAATACTGCTAAAACGCTCTAAACACTGTATCGATCATCATATTTTCATCTTTAAAAATTCTGTATAGATCACTAACGCTCATTCATGTCACATTTATTACACCATTTGCTTTTTACCGAACTCTACTATATGAGACTCAAATGTCGCCACACCTCTGTTACTTAAGAACGCTTTTAGCCTACTTTTTTTTAAAAATAACTTTCGAAAAGTGGCTTTAAAATCGAAAAGCTTTGATATTCCATATACTAACTAATCCAGCGATTTTCCACAGGGAAAATTTCGAATTGATCCGTGAGCTCGAGTTTGTGCGATTAAGTAATAAATATAATAAAGTTTAACTTCTTCCCTTGAGTTATTTTGTGTTTTTAGCAGTTATTTAGCACGGATCAATTCAATTTAGCAAATAATTCATCTCTTTTCTGAATTCTTTTCTAATAAATAAGAGAAAAGAGAATAATTCATTTTTACGCACAGAAAATTTACACAAGATTCCTTGTCAAATTGTCTGTTTGGCATCGAAATAAATTTTCTTTCATACTTGAGTAACAGAAAGAGAATGTAATTAAGGCATTTTGATGTTGAAATGACTATCGAACATGGTGAAAAGAAGGTAGTGATCGATATAAAGCAAAAATATTTCAAACATATATTTTATGAGAAAATGCAACACCATAAAATGTAATGCCAATAACATATGCTTTTTATTCTTACAGTTTTTATACATAAAGCTGCATAATTAATCCGGCATCACAAAAATATCAAAAGTACATTTTTCTTTTTTCTACATGTCAAATTCACTATGGAAAGAAGTTTCAGAATATTTCTGTATAATACGATATGGATGATCCAGTTTTAATAGCATAAAAATCTAGATTAGAATTACAAATTTGTATTATAATTATACGCTGTAAATGTACAGTATTTAAAATAAATCCAAAGCAATTTGCAGTACCAATACTAAAATCTCCTCGAATGGTTTAATTTTGAACTTATAAACACTATAATTTTATCTATTATAGTAATTCAAGCGTAAGTACTAAAAATGCTGTATTATAAAAACTTTATTACACGACAAGAAAATCCTTCGTGATTTCAGGCACGGTGTAGTTATTTTTTTAAAGGCCTTGCGCCACTATAAGGACCGGAAGTAGTGATCATTTCATTATGGAAGCCACCATTGTCTTCTGTGAAGGGACAGACAGTTACAACCATGCCTTCTTCGGGATTCGAGCCCAGGCCCATCGCTACGGTAGTCAAGGTCACTGACCACTATACCGGCTGGGCGGCATGTACAGCTAAATTAAATATACATAAGTGAAATACGCACATGTTTATGATACAATTAAACACCGAATACTGGGACCACCAGTGTTTGAACGAATCTTTGGTAGTCCGACAAAGTTTCAAATCTCGGAGAAAGAGCTGACCACACAGGGCTTTTGGGGATTTTCCCTAAGTGTAATGTAGCGTGAATACAAGCCAAGCTTGCTTTAGAAATGCCCTCCATGAAGGCATCCCTTTTCTTGAAAATTGCCTAATGCGTGCTTTGCTATACAATCCAGTTCAATCCAATACTGAATGAGGCATGTATATTGCTAAATGATAAATCACCTGAATATCGATTACTCACAAATGATGCAAGTAATCGATGTTGCAGAAGATTTTGTTATAGAAAACGCTCTGTTGTGTCATTATACTTGAACTAGAAATAGCCCGGCGGTCATGCGAAATGACCGCTGTTCTAGATATTATAAATTGTAATTAGAATGATTTGTGCAAAGGTGTCTGCTAATTCAAACTGCTTTACCTAGGGCAGGAGGCAAAGACGCCTCTTTACTCTCTGCTCCACGGGATTTCCCCCTTCTACTTGCTTAATTGCTTAAAGTAGAGTGCAAGGAAAGAAATCACTTGCGGTACATTTCTTAAGAGCCACCGCTAGCTCAGTCAATAAAGGTGATTTAAATAATGAAATGTTATTTCACATATCACAGATCTCTTTGTACACAACATTTCTTGTGTAGATCTTTGCATCATTTTTAAGCTCGCCTTGCAGAGGACCATCCATTATTTTTAATTTTACGTCCGTTCTTTCACGAACTCTTGAACAGGCAATATAAAGTTCACCGTGTCCAAATGCAGGCTCAGGTAAAAAAATGCCAACACGCTTAAACGTTTGGCCCTGAGACTTATGGATGGTCATAGCAAAGGCAAGTTTACAGGAAATTGTCTACGTCTCAATTGAAACGGCAATCCTGTGTCGTGTAAAGTTCACCCCATTGGCTAGTACAGTTACGCAAGCAACCAATAAACTATTTGCGACAAACACTTAAGCCGCATATATATATGGGGTGAAGTAACATCATCTCCTCCGAAACGGC